GCAGGGGCCACACCCCGTCTGCACCACCCTGAGCCCTGCGGCCCCACCACCAGCTCTCACGCACACACACACACACACACACACACACACACACACATGCATGCGTGCACACCCGGCCAGCCCAGAGGGGCTCCCCACACCCTCGTTCCACGGTCCTGCCTGCCCCCCACTCCCCACCCTGGGCTGCCTTTCTTCCCATGTGCTCCGGAGGCTGTGGGCCTCCTTCCCGCCGCCTCCCCGAGAGCTGCCAGCAGATCTCAGGGGTGAGCGGCCTCCTGAGGCCGGAGTCAGGGACACGGTGAGCAGGTCCGGCTTTTCTCCAGCTGAAGGGGAGACTCAGGAACGGGGGCAGAGGGGTGGGGGCAGCGCCTAGATGGAGAGCAGGCTCACAGGCCTGGAGAGAGCGCCAGGGAGTGAGTCAGAGCACCCCCGCCGGCTCCTGCCCAAGGTGCACGGCCCACCAAGGGCCACCACGGACGTTTCTAGAACAGCATGAAAGCGAGACACACACAAAGGAGAGCGTGCAGTCCAGGGCTTTGTAGCTGGCAAAACCGATGAGCTACTCTTGGCCCCGATGAGCCAGGGAATTCTGTCCCCCGCAGCCAAGGCCCCGGAGAGCCCGCTGGCTGGCGACAGCGCAGGAAGGACCGGCATGGACAGCGCGTCCGGCGGGAGGGGGCTCGCGGTCCCGAGGACGCTGCTCGGACACGGCACGGACGCAGCAGGACCACGAGGGGGCGCAGGGGCGAATTCCGAGTGTCCTCAGCAGTGAGATCGGGGTGGCCCTGTAGCGCGGTTACTCTGGGGCGCCGTGTCTGGGATGCGGGATAACGTAAGTGAGCGATTGTGAGACGCCGGAATCCAGGCAGTCCCGTCCACCCCCTCCCGTGTCCCGGGGTTCTCGGCGTGGGAGATGGAGGGTAAGAGCTGGGAGCGACCTTGTTTGGAAATAAGGTCGGGACCGAGGTGAGGCCGTCCTGGATTGGAGCCGGCCCTCCGCCCGGTGAGAGTGTCCTCGTCAGGGACAGAAAAGGGCCCGCAGGGCTCCAGCGGACAGAGGCCACGCGGAGGCGAACGCAGAGATTAGAATGAGGTGGCCACCAGCCGAGGAACGCCAGGAGCCCCCAGGAGCCGGGGCCGAGGGGCAGGGGACGAGTCAGATCCCCCCCAGGGACCTAGCTCCTGTCCGCACCGTGACCCCGACGCTGGCCTCCCGGATGGCGGGAAGTCCGGTTCTGTCCCTTCCAGCCGCCGTTTCAGTGACTTGTGGTCACTCATTACAGCAGCCCCAGGGGCTCTCGCAACGGCCGTCCCCACGGCTGGACCCCAGATGCCACCGTCCCGAGCCCGTCACGCGGCGGCTGGTCCTCATGCCCGAGGTCCCCGCTCCTCCCCGGGGCCCTTTCTCTGTCTCCACTCAAAGCCCTGCTCCCCTCCTCCCTGGGGAAGGCTTGGACGGGTACAGGACAGACAACAGGTAGATGGGTAATAGACAGGTGGCAGAAGGTGGATGACTGGCAGGTGGCAGGAAGAACAGGACGACACATGGGCGAGAGGTAACACTGAACTCTGCCGTCCCCCAGGCAGCCTCTTCTCCACCACGGCCGTGTCCGACACCAGAGCGAAGCACTGTGTGCGTGGACGCCGGCCGCGTGGCGTCTCCTGGGACCCATCCCCGCGGCCCCGCGGCCCCGCGTCGCCGGCCCTCCCCCGCTCTCCCCCCGCCCCCCCCCCCCCCGGGCCCGGCGGCTCCTTTGTTGCAGCTGCTGCTCGGAGCAGAACGCTGGGCCTGAGCCAGGGGGAGGGGGGGCTCTCCCGGGGGTCTCGGGGGAGCTGACGGCACGGTAACCATGGCGATTCCTGCGTGACGCACACTGGGGACATTTTCACCGAGAACGACTTAATTTGCCTAGCGAGCCGAGCCCTGAGGCTCCTCCTCCCCAGCGTGTCCCCCCTGGGGGCCTCCCCTGGACCCAGGTCCCAGCTGTGTCGCCTCCAGAAGGCGAATACTTGTCTTTCTGTCCATCTTGAAGTCTGTCCATCTCACAGCCTGGCCGGGAGAACGTGGTCCTCGGGTCCCCGAGTCCGGCAACGTGGGCCCCGTCCTCAGGACGGGTGCAGCAGGGACCCCGAGTCCCCTTTCAATCAGGGAGCCCTGGGGAGGCGGCGGGCCGTCGGAGGGAGTAGGGTCGACAGGAAACGCTGCCCCCAGGGGCTCATCACAGCCCCTCCCCGCACACGGGCACCCGGCCCCTCCCGGGCACCTACCGCCCCGCACCCACCCATTCAGAATCACCGATCGCCGGCCGGGGGGCTGGCGCGAGAGGCCCGGTTCCAGGGGTCTCCGCCCAGGGCTGGGCCAACACACAGCCTCCCACGTGCGGCCCACCCCCGAGAGTGGGGCGGGGGGCGGCAGAGCTCAGTCCTTTCCCCGCTGAGGCCCGGACAAGCAGACGTTCAGCCAAAACCCTGACAGCGCCATGTTATCCGGGAACTGGACGAGCGGATCCCGACATCCGTCCGTGAGAATCAGCTGTGAGAAGCGATCACAACCGTTTAAAAGGAAGAGCAAGGAGGGGCGGCCGCCTGCGGGGTGCTGAGCCTGCTGCGAACGCGCCGGAACCAAAGCAGCATGGCGGGGCCCCGGGCAGAGCGCCCCGTGGGGTCCTGGCAGGCCGGGGGTCAGGAACAGGGTGCAGCCCCCGCCGGTGCGGGTCAGTGGACTGCGCGCCGGCCTGCGACCCAAAGGGTCGACGGTTCGATTCCCAGTCAGGGCACATGCCTGGATTGCAGCCAGGTCCCCACTAGGGGGCGCGTGAGATGAGCGGCAACCACGCATTGACGTTTCTCTCCCTCTCTTTCCCTCCCTTCCCCTCTCTCTATAAATAAATAAATCTTTAAAATAAACGGGCTGCAGACTTGCGAGGGGACACACTGTGTTACCAGGGTGGCACTTGACGCAAGTGGGGAAGGACGGCTTGCAGAGAACTCGGCTTTGGGACGCACCGGCCGCTGCTGTGACGGAGGCCCCGCCCCCGCCCCCCCCCTCTAAGCCGCAGGTGGGCGGGGCCCGGGAACGCAGCCCGCGAGTTTGTAACCACGTGAGACGGAAAATACTGTCTCCTCGGGTTTGAAACCCAGAAACCGTGGAAGGACAACCGGATGTGGCCGCGCGGAGCCTGAGAACGTGCACGCACCGCGGAGACGCCGAGACAGACACGACAGACACGCGTGCGCCACGGGAAAGGCTGTCCGAGCGCACGGAAGGGCCGGCCCTGGGGTCGGTGCGGGAGGGCAGATGCGCCGACAGAGGGCGAGCGGAGGGCGCCACCGGCTGCTGCAGAGGGAACGCCCCGGCCGACGCGGTGGACGCGGCCAGCGCCAATCACCTTCTGCGGCGGCAGTTCAGCGAGGCTCCAGGCTCTGTGGCCGGTCCCGGCAGGCCTGCCCGGAGCTGGCGCCGCCCGCCTGCCGCTCGTGAGGGTGGGAGGGGCGCGCGGGAACGCGACAGCCTTTTGGAGGTGTCGGCTCCGTGTGTGGCAGGAACCCCTCTGGCTCCTACTGCTCACTTCTGGAAATCCATCCAGCGGAAACAGCCCCTGGAGTGCCCGGGGCGGGGGGGCTGGACTGCCCAGAGCGCAGCCCTGGGCCCCGGGGTGCAGGCAGGCGGCTGCACGAACCTCCGTCCGTTTGCTCAGGGGGCCCTCGGCCCGCCCCACAGCCACAGGTCTCCCTGCACGTGCTGACCCGGGCGGACGGACGGACGGACATCCTTGGGAACCGCTCAGCGCCGAGGGGCACACAGCTGGGGCGCGCCCGTGCGCCCACCAGACCCAGCGCCTCCCCCGCACTGTGGACGCCGTCCCTGCCGCCACGGTCCGTCGTGGGGGTGTCGGGAGGTGGGGACACAGGCCCCACATTCGGGAAGCGGGAGCTGAGACCTCCCCCCGGAGCCCCCGCTCATCTCTGACCGGACAGCCTTCTTCCCAGAGCTGGGAGAACACCCTTCCTGCTTGTTTGAACGCCTCCCTCGAACCGTGAATCCAGCGCGCAGAGGTGGGCATCAGAGCCGGTCTGAGTCCTTGGGACCCCCGGCTCCCGCTGCCCACCGAGGCGCCCGCTCCTGGCCTCTCCTCAGGTGCCCCCCCCCCACAGTGCGCTGCCCCACGTCTCGGCCAGCAGCGCTGTCCCGGGGCCCCGAAGCAGCGGGTGCTGGTGGGGGGGGCACACGCTGCTGGGCACCGGGCAGGGGCAGGAGGGGGCGCGTCGCAGAGCACAGAGGAGTCCAGGGCCCGGAATTGACCGAGCCCTGGGCCCACCACACAGGGAAGAGGAAGGACTGGCCGGGGACCTGACCCAGAGGAAGCCTCGAGTGGCCGCCGAGTGTCACGCGGTGAGCCTGGACCACAGGGCAGGGCCACACGGCCAGTGGGTACAGGAGGCCTGGCTGGACTTGGGTGCAGGGACAGGACCTCAGAGGCCAGGCTGGAGCAGGAAGGGCTCACCTCCAGGGGTCCTGCCCTGCCTTCCCCCACCCAAAGTGCCCCAGCGCCTCTGTGCCATCCCACACGGGGGTGGGATTCCCCAGCCCCTGCCCAGGCCCTGGCCTCCAGGACCCCCGGCGGGCAGGGGGTGTCTGGGGAAGAGGGCCCATGAGTGTGGGTGCAGGCCAGGGGCGTGAGCGTGGGTGCAGACACTGGCTCGGGGGGCTGTGTGCACACCCACCCCGCATTTGTGTGGGCCAGAGTGAGGCCGGGGCGGCTGGGGCCTCCCCCTCAGGCCCACCCTGAGGCCCTGCCCCCGCCCCACTGCTCCCCGATCTCGCCAGGCCCAAGCCCCCCCAGGCGGCCGGCACCACAGCCCCACACCCTGGTGTGGGTGCCCCCGCTCCCTCCCAGCATCCCACTCCCACCCCCTGTGGGCGCCCGTGCCCCCCACACCCGGGCCGAGAGCCAGCTCTCTAGACGCAGAAGCCACTTTATTTCTCAGCAGAAGACGCCCTCACAGCCAAGCCGCTGAGCTGGGCCTGGCCACCCCTCAGCGACTGGAGGTCCCAGCCCCCTGCCCTCACCCCCAGATGTCCGGCCCACCCGAGGGACGCTGGTGTCCAGCAGGCGCCCTGCTGGCCGGGACTCGGAGCTGGTGGGGAGACAGGGAGGGGCGAGGGCCACAGAGGGTGGTGGAGCCTGGCCAAGGCTGCCCCTGCCCCCAGCCGGGCGGGGCAGAGGAGGGGCAGCCACCGGCCGGGGGCACCCGCTCAGAAGCCCCGGGCAGGGGGCAGGGGAGGGGCCTCAGGGCCCCGCCCGGAGGAGGGCGGGCCCCAGGCTGAGCAGGAGCCCCCCGGCCAGGGCCCAGGGGCCGCCGCCCGGCCCGGGCGCCCCGTTGCACAGGTCCTCGTCACAGCACTCCACGTCCACCTCCAAGAGCCCCGAGCTGATGAAGCCCATCAGATAGTCCGAGAAAAAGTGTCGCTTCACGAAGTCGCAGGAGGAGGCGCACATCCTGTTCACCGAGTGGTCCTTCCGGCCTGGGGATGGCGGGGGGGGCCTGAAGTGGGAGCCCACAGAGGCCCTCTCTGCCTCCTGCCCGGGCCTGGCCCCGGGGGCCCTGGAGCAGCAGGGCTGGGGCGCTGTCCCCACCCACACCGTCCCCAGTGACGGGGAGAGGGCCACCGTGGGGGGCAGGGCCGGACAGGACCGGCACCGGCTCACGGTCGGTCACACAGCAGGCCCCGTGCCCCCCCTCGCCCCCGGGCCGGGCCCTGGCTTACTGCTGCTGGGGTCGGTGATGCGGACGCTGGCGCACACCCTGTCGGACGGCGGGCACTGCTTCGGGGTGCACTGGCTGGAGTTGGTGGTCAGGGTGCAGTCCTGGCACCACAGGCCGCGAGCTGGGCGGGCCGAGGGGCAGGGAGGGTGACGGGAGCCAGGCCGGCCGGCCCCCTGCACCCTCCTGCCTGCCCGCCGCCGGTGCTCCTAGGAGAGCCACGGGGCTGTGGGCGGCCGGGCAGCCAGCCCCCGGCCGGCAGTGACCGGGGCCCCAGAGGACGGGCCCTGGAAGCCCCCCTGCCCCTCCCGGGCCCCCTGGGCGGGCGCACCTGCACACGCAAGCCCCTCACACCCAGGGGCCCTCCTCGGCACTCCCACCCTCCCACGCCCCCTCCTTTCCCAGAGTCCTGTTGGTTCTAAGTTTCCAAGGACCAAACAGGACTTGGGCAGCTAGGTGGGGCTCTGTGAGTGGCGGAGCCCAGGCCCCCTGCATTCTCGGGGTATCCGTGCAGGACCCAAGGAGGGGTGCCCTGTGCCCCCAGGAGCCGGAGAGACCCAGGGGGCTGGGAGTGCAGTGGCGCCACCTGGGCCCACGCTGGTGAGGGCCCGGCTGGGGTCGCAGGGGCCCAGGAGGGGCTGCGGGTTTGAGTGAGCGCTGGGGTGGGCGGGAGGAGGCTGGCGGCCCCACAGCCCCGCTGTCTCTCTCCGCGCACCCACCCTCCGGGTCGGCCCGCCCGAACTCACCGGGCGCAGAGCACAGCAGGGCGGCCAGCAGTGCCAGGCTGAGGCCCTTCATGGCTGCGGGCGGCATGCTCCAGGTGGGCCTCGCGAAGGCACGGGCGCTGCGGGTGGGGGTCCTCTGGGGCGCACGCCTGGCAGGGAGAAGCCTGGGTCAGCAGACACGGCGCCCGGGCCGGTCCGAAGGACCATCTCCTTTCCTGGCCTCGGAATGCAACCCCCTCCCGGGAATCCGCCGCCGGGGTCGCGCGGGAGCTCGAAGAGGCCCACCCCCAGCCCCTCCCCCGCCGCGCCCCCCGCCGCGCCGTGCCCTCCGGCGGAAACCGGTCTGCCCTCTGGCCGGCGACGGGCGGAGAGGCGCCCACCGCACGCCCAGCCCCTGTGGGATAAGGGGTGTCGGGGCGCGCCCTCTCCTCCTCCCGGGGAGCGGTGGGTGCGTCGGGAGAGGAAAGGGCAAGGTGCGAGAGAACCGTACCTGCTGTGGGCGGAGGGGCGCACGCCGCGTCTCCACCCCGCACCCCTGGGCTGGGCGGCCGGGGACCCCGCGCGGAGCCGCCTCCCTTCGCCTCCCCCCGCCCCCTCGCACGCCTCAGCGCTCACCGAGGGTCGGAGAGTGGAGTGCAGGCCACGGGTCGGAGGGGCGCACTCACATCCCCGGGGTGTCGGCGCTCGGACGCTCAGGGTGGAGCGCGCGGTGCTGGCGGCGCGGGCAGCGGTGTCCTTCGCTCTCCCTGCGGACCGGAACCCGGGCGCAGCCTCCTCGTCGTTCGGGGAACGCAGCCGCAGACGCGGACCCCGCGCGAGGGGCGGGGCGGGGCTGGGCCGGGGGCGCGAGGGGGCGGGGGCGGCGGGAGACGCGCTGCCGGGGCGCCCGGGGCTCTGAGGTCGGAGCCCCGGCCTCTGTCCGCTACCGCCCTGTGCCCTAAGCCAGCCGGCGCCGCTCGCCCGCGCGCTCGCCCTCTCCAGTTCCCGCTCCCTCCACGGCCTCCACCTCCCCCTACCCAGGCGCGGGAGGCATCCCTTCCCCCTCCGGTTGGCTGAGATCCCCTTGGAATTTCTCGGAAGAGCGTTTACTGTGAAAGGAAGCGAAACGCACAAAGACGCAGGGAGGGAGAGAGGAAGCGAGCAAAGGTACCGGCGCGAGGTCCGGGTTCACAGAGCGGCAGCCGTGCCCCTCCCCAGCCCGCGGCCGTTCAGGGCGCTTCTCCCCTGAGCATCCCCGCGACCGGCGCCAGCAGCCGCAGCCAACCCCAATCCCCACACCCTGGGCGGGACGGCGCGGCCCTTGGGCTGCGGTCGTAGCTTTGTCTCTGCCCCTACCCCACCCCCCCCCCCCAGCCCCACCCCAAGCCCCGCCCCCACCCAGCTTCCGACCTGCTGCGCCTCGGCACCTGCGCCCTCCGGTCCGGCTGGAGTCGGTCTCCGCTGGGCCCTGAGTAAACCACAGCTACGGTGCAGCGGGGGCGGCGTTGCTCTCCGCCTGGCCTCGTCTGTCCGGGAAATGTGGATGGGGTGCCCGCTGTCGGCCTGGCGCTGCCCTAGGCGCACCCCCACAGCAAGATGAGAAGAGGGTCGCTGAACCTTACTCAAGACAAATGATTGTCGCTGGCCTGTCGTCGTGAGACGCGCCACTCACGGCGTTCGCGGAGCACACAGTGTGCGCGCTAAACCCTTGTGGTGCGGTCGCTCGCCGCTCAGCGCCCTGCAGGCGGGGTTGTGGTCCGTCTTACAGATGCGGACACCACGCGGCCCCGAGGTTGCGGCCCCTGCCCAAGGTCACACAGTGACCCAGCGGCCAGCCACACGGCCCACGCTGGGACCCAGCCACCTGGCTCCCCAGCCTGCACACCTCCCCACTTTCCGGCCGCCGGGGAGGAGTGGGGGCGGAGGAGGAGACGGACAAGCAGCCCGTGTCGGAGCGGCGGTTCCCACAGACGCAGCAGAACTCTAACGTGAGCTCGAAGGTGAAAACCAGCAAACGCCCTGCACAGCGGGACTCGGCAGAGGCAGTGACTTTCCCACTCGAAGTGTCCGGGACACAGTGTAAAGCCCACCTGCCTCACGGCTTCAAGATGCACTGAAGGGCCGATCACTGTCCAAACTGAGCACGCTTACATGAGAAAAGGAGAAAGGAAGAAACTCTAGGAGGCCTTGCCCGCCTCCATAAACGCATGAGCCAGTCCTTAGAATAAATGTCTCTCTCCCGCTCTCTCTCCCTCCGCCCCTTCACACACACACACACACACACACACACACACACACACACAGGGTCAGGAAGTCAGGTCTGCCTGCAAAATATCCAGCCATTATTAATATGATGAGAACAGTTTTCGTGACATCGATGCGACCCGGCAGCCCAGGACGGTGGGCTGGAACGCACGTGTGTGAACAATGACGACTTCACTGCACTAGTCGGTGGGGGCGGTAGACGCCGTTGAGTGAGCACGTGTCCTGTGTGGTCGTCGTAGTCGAAATGACTGAGTGAGCAGAGCCACGAATCTGCGTCCAATTTGCATTAAGTTTGAACATTCCTCCATGGAAACTATTCGGATGATTCGGAAGGCCGCGGCTCTGGGCAGCTGGTGACTGGCAGCTTCGTCACAACAATGCACCTGCTCATGCATCACGTCTTCTGCAGAGAGTTTTGGAGAAACATCCAATCACCCAGGTGACTCAGCCCTGCTCCAGCCCGGATTTGGCGCCCTGCAACTTCTGGCTTTTCCCAAAACTACAATCACCTTTGAACGGGAAGAGATTTCAGATGGTCGATGAGATTCAGGAGAATGTGATGGGACAGCTCTTGGCAATCAGGAGAACTGTGTGAGGTCCCCAGGTGCCTCCTTTCGCGGGGACTGAGGGGTCATTGTCCTGTGTACAGAGTGTCTTGTATCTTCTTCAGTAAATGTCTCTACTTTTCACGGCGCATGAGTGGGCACCTCCTGGACAGGCCGCGTGCGCCCACATGTGTCCCCATCTGTGTCTCCGCCTCTGCACCCGCGTCCCTGGCCACAGCGACCTCTGTACCGTGAGGCAATGCTGGGCCCCCCGGCCTCACCCCTTCCGGTCCCATTTCTACAGACATCACTGATTGCTGACCCCGAAGCCATTCCCCAGTTCTGACTTTGTCCGAGACGCTGAGGCCACGGATGGTGTTGTTTTAAGCCCCGAAGTTTTGGAGTCATTTGTTATGCAGCCGAAGATGACACAGGCGGGCGGGGCCTGGCGTGAGCCCGGTGGCGGCACTGGGGGCAGGAGCCCGCCGGCCCGAGAGTGATGTCCGAGGGGCTGGGGCCTCCACCACCACCACCACCACCACCGGGACTGCAGCTGCTCCCGGAGAGCAGAGACCCGAGCGAGCGCTCCCAGGCTGGGCTTGGTTGCCGGGGAAACGGAGATGCCCATCCCCATTTCAGGCTGCTCTGCCTTCCTCCTGGGGCGCCTGGGGCAGTTCCGCCTGCCGGGACTTTGCTCACAGGAACCACAGCCCCTCGGAATGAATGAGAGCCGGACAAGTCACCGTGCAGCCCTGACCCCACCCCCAGTGTGGACAGCTCCCACAGGGAGCCGGTGACCGCCGGCCTCGCCCTCCCCCTTCCCAGCCTGACCTGGCCCGGATGCCCAGGTCCTGGCGCGGGGGCCCTGGGCTCCTGCCCTGCTGGGTGACACCTGGGGGTTCCCCGCAGCCTGGGGCGACTCTGGCCATGGCCCACGTCTGATGCTGTGCTCAGGATCCAGGATGACCGGCGGGCGTGGCCCACAGCAGAGCCACCCCCCAGGTGGGCAGAGCCGGGCACAGTGTCAGAGGCCACCGCTCTCCAGCCGACGGCCGGTGTGGCTGGCTCCCAGAAGCAGGGGGCAGGGCCTCTGGGGCAGCCCGGCGGGGAAGCGGGCGAGGGTCGGGTCACGGGGAGAGGTGCTGCTGAGCTTCCTGCCAGCGTTTCTCATCCCTCCAGGCCTTTGAGACTGCGGCCGTGTTACCTGGCTCCCCTGGGGGCCCGCCAAGGGCCCAGGGGACACTGTGTCACTCACACAGCACGTTTCCTGAGACGGAGACCATCCCTGACCCCAGGGGCCCTCAGAATAGCGAGGGGACAAGGCGTGTGCTTGGCTGAATGGGGGCCCCCAAAAGATGTTCAAATCCTGTGCCCCCCGACCTGGGATTGTGACCTTATTTGGAAAAGAGTCTGTGGGTGGGGCTAAGTTACAGATCTGGGGAGGAAGGCATCCTGGTGTCTGTCCTCTGAGAAAGGGGAGGCAGCTCTGGGGCGGAGGCCGGGGAGGCATGGCCACCCCCCAGGACGGCGGGGCGCTAGGAAGGGTTCGAGTTGTTCCAGCTCACCAAGCTTGTGGCTCGTCGCTTGGGGGGGTCTCGCAGGACAGAGGAGAAGGCAAGGACGTGGGCCAAGCACAGGAGGACCCTCGGACGCGGACGCCTGCCTGTGCCCTGGCGAAGGGGGTGAGGCCCGGGGAGGAAGGTGCCCCAGGAAGCAGTTTGGGGGGAAGAAACCTGAGGGGCACGGGACTGATGCCTGCCCGGCGCAGAGGACCCCGCGCCATGGCAAGGGGCACACCAGGCGGGGCCAGGGAGGGGCAGGCAGGTGGGAGTCAGCGGTCAGTTTGGAGCACCCCACCCCGTGTGGTCCAGGGCGCCGGCTGAGGACGGACACGCGAGAAGAGCGCCCAGAGACTGCCCGACGGCGGAGGGAACCAGGGAATGAGCGGACCACGGCCTGCGGGCCCCCGGCCCTCGACCCTCGGAGGTTTGAGGCCAGCGGGTGAGGTCTGCCGTTTTCCTGGGGCCCCAGCGACCCGGTGGCGCTGGGCTGGGGGTGTCGCTCACCACGGGAGCTGACTGAGGGGCTGAGCCAGGAGGGGGTGGGCAGTGAGGGATGCCGGAGGGGGGCCAGGCGTCTCCTGAGACCCCCAGGAAGGCAGGTGGGGGCGTGGACAGCAGGGACCTCCCCCTCCTCCCCCTGGGTCACAGCCTCACCCCCTAACTCTCGGAGAACACAGAAGCATCTCACAGGCTCCCGGCATCCCCCTCCCGGCCCCACCCTGAGGGTGGAGGTGTGGAGGCAGAGAGGCGGGCGGCCAAGAGTGGCCGTGCCGATGTGACCACGGGAGCGGCCGGCGAGCTGAAGCAGAGGGAAGGCCACTGGGAGTGAGGGTGCCAAGGGCCGGGGCTCCCCCTGGCTGGGCAGCAGAGGGGAGCAGGAGACCTCAACCCCGATGGACTCCTGTCCTCAGCCAAGGGCAGCGACAGGACGGCAGGGGCGACGTGACCTGGAGCAGGGAGGGTGGCAGGGGGAGGTGCACGAGCACCAGAGGAGCGGGTGTTCGGGGTTCAGGGGAGTAGGCGGAAAGATCTGGAAGGGCCTCGCAGAGCGACGGCAGCGGAAAGCGCCTGCTTTACAGTTTCATCAGCGGTTCCTGCGTGCAAGGGGTGGCAGGCCCCCCCGTGGACAACTGCCCTCCTGGAGACACAGCCAAGTACACGCTGGGGGCAAAAAGACCTCGCTCGGACGGAGAGGGCCAGCGGGCACAGTCGGTGCCGTCCCGCAGCAAGAGGCGGCCGCAGACCCCTGCTCTGCGCCCCCATCCCAGGCAGCCAGAGGCAGCCTCGGGAACAGAAGGAAGGAAACGAGGGCAATCGCAGGGATTCGTGCAGCAGAAACGGTTGCGATAGAGCGTGATGGACGCGGGTCGCGGGCTCCTTGCGCCTCTCGGCGGACCCCCGGGTGGGCCGAGCCGGAGTCCGGGGAGATCGGACGCGGGCGGCGGGTCTGTTCAGTGGCGCAGCGCCTGCAGTGCGGGCCCTGCTGCCTCCATTTCTCCGCTCTGGGTCGGGCGGGGGCGGGGGGGGGGCACCTACCAAAGGTCTTGGAGGCCCCACCAGGGGGCGCTCTGCGCACCACGGGGCCCAGTGCGGGGTCGGGAGCGCACCCACTGAGCCTGCAGCGGAGGCTGGGGGACACCAGTGGTAGCCTCAGACCTGAGCCCCCTCCCCAGAGCCGGCCCCCCCTGGGGCGGTGGGTGGGTCCCCAAGAGGAGGGAGGTGGGTGTTTGGGGCACCGCCGCCTTGCCGGCGTTTACCCCAAGGGGCGGAAGCTCACGGCCGCAGCACCCCTGCCCACGGACCGACGCTGGTGTACAGCCGCCGAGCTCGTCCTCGGCCGCACTCCAGGCGGCCGCGGGGTCCTTCAGCAGGGACGGGCGGACGTCGGTATGAACTGCGGCCCGTGCGGCAGCGGAGCAGGACTCGGGGCTAGGGAGAAATGAGCCGTCAGCCGCGCGACTTGGAGGAACCGTGTCACATGCACGTTCCGGAGTGAAGAGGGCGGCCAGAGGGGGCGCAGGGTGTGACTCCGGCTGCAGCGCGGGCCGGGGGTTGGGCGGGAGGACGAGCAGGTGAGCGCGGGGTCACGGCTTTACTTTTAAGATCCCATTTATCCGCTTTTAGAAAGATGGGAAGGGAGGGCGAAAGACAGGGAGGGGACTGTCTGTGCGCCAGAGATACCCTGACCCTCGGCCTCTCTCGCGCCCCCGCCTGGGGGCCTGGCCCGCGGCCCAGGCCTGTGCCGCGACCCGGAACCAAACCAGCGACCTTTCAGTCCGCAGGCTGGCACTCGCTCCGCTGAGCCACCCCAGCCAGTGAAACGCTCGTGTGACCGGACGACGACGGACATGCGCCCTCGCACACCTGCGCAAACCCACCGAGTGTGCACCCCGGGGGGCCTGGTGTGAGCCGTGCGCTCTGGGCGGCCGCGCCGCGTGGGTGCAGGTTCATCGTGGGAACGCAGGTCCGGGCCCCACAGGGATGTCAGCCCTGGGGGGGTCCTGTGTGGGGGGGGGGGTGGAACAGGGGAAATATCTGTACCTTAATTTTGCTGGGAACCTAAGATTCCTCTAAAAATGTCTTTAAAAAAAAGTTTAGGACTTGGAAAAAGTCAGTGCTGGCCTGGGCATCGGGGCCGGGTCCAGGGCGGCTCCGGCTGGGCGCTGCTCCCTGGGCGCCGCATCCCCCACAGAGGACTGTCTCACCCGCCAGCTCCAACGCCTTAGCCCTCCAGGCACGTGTCCCCACACCGAGGGGCCTCCGTGCACCCCCAGGGCGGCCCCCCAGCCCCGGGACCTGTGCTGTCTGCCCTGCTGACCTGCCGGCCTGGCCGTGGTCGCCCTGAGGCTGCAGTCTGTCCCGCCCCTACACGGTCCACGGGGGCCAGGCCCAGGGACCGGACCAGCGAGGACACAGATGCGACAAGGGCGGGTGGCCCTTTTGGAGCTCCAGCCTGCTTGGAGAGACGGGGAGGGGGGGTGGGGGGGCAGGAGCCCTGCCTAGCTCAGTGTGGGGCCCCAAAAGCTGCGGGTCAGGACACGAGGGGGGGAGCACCAGGCCCCTGGGCCCAGCTGGAGGAGGAGGAGCGTGGGGCCCAGGCTATCGGCAGGAGGGTCGGTCCAGCTCAGGGCACAGGCTGCGAGGGGGCTGGGGGTGGAGCCCCTGCGTGGGCACTGGCAAGCTGCTGTCAGTGGCCAGCTCTGCAGGGACCCTCTGGTGCTGCCTGTCACACCGCCGGAGAAAGGTGGGCGTGGCCTGGAGCGTCTGGGGAGGGGGGGCCGATGTGGGCAGCCCAAATGCCCTGCGGGCCCAGGAGGAGAAGGGGCCTGGCAGGCGGCCTGGAGACAGGGCCGCGGGCCCAGGTGGCGCCCGGAGCTCACAGCCTCAGCACACAGAGGGACCTTTGCTCCCTTTTCACACAGACGGCGGCGTGGGTGCACGCTTGCCAGCGGGGCCTCACCCGTGCACTGTTTTTCTGGCTCAGGACATGAGCTTCTTCCTTCCTGTCCCTGGCTGCGCAGAATCCCTGCATAGAATTTTTTTTTAAGATTTTATTTATTTTTAGAGACGGTAAGGGAGGAAGAGAAACATTAATGTGAACTGCCCTGCAACCCAGGCATGAGCCCTGACTGGGAATTGAACCGGCGACCCTTTGGTTCGCAGGCCGGCGCTCAGTCCACTGAGCCACACCAGCCAGGGCCCTGCATAGAATTTTGAGCGTTTTGTTTGTTGTGTTACCGTCAGTTGAGGGAGACTGGTGTCTAGTGCAAAAAAGGACATGCAAGATGCATCCTTGCTGAGCAGGGGCTGGTGCTCCAGGCTGCTGGCGGCGACACAGCACCCCTCGGTGGGGGCTGGGGGTGGGGCCCGTGGGCGGGGAGGGTGCAGAGCCCGGCCACCCTCCAGGTGGGCGCTCTGGCTGTGTCCCCACGTGGCAAGCCCGGGCTTGGTGGGATGAAAGTTCAGCCCCTGCCACAGGAGACCTTCCCTCAAGGAAGGGGATGAGGAGGGAATCTGGGTAGAAAATTAAGGAAAGAAAAGGATTTTCAAAAGTTTGCTTTTCTTTTTTTTTAAAAGATTTTATTTATTTATTTTTAGAGAGGGAAGGGAGGGAGGGAGGGAGGGGGAGAGAGAGAGAGAGAGAGAGAGAGAGAGATAGACATCCATGTGCAGTTGCTGGGGGTTATGGCCTGCAACCCAGGCATGTAACCTGGCTGGGAATCGAACCTGGGACACTTTGGTTCCCAGCCCGCGCTCAATCCACTGAGCTACACCAGCCAGGGCTAAAAGTTTGCTTTTCTTTTTCTGCTGTAAGACACTCAACTGCCTTGACACGCAGAAAGAGAGGCCCCCTGTGCGGAAATGGAGCCGACCCGCCGAGAGATCCAGCCAGTCCGCGTGGGGTCCTTCCCCGGGGACCGGAGCGGGGGCGGAAGCGACGCCAGCGCCAGCCGCCCGCCGTGTTCCCAGCGGCCAGAAAGGAAAGCAGCCGCCGTGCCCGTGCCCGCCGCGGGGGGAGGAGGAGACGGAGTGTGGGGGGCGCTGGCGCCCTGGGGAGGGGTTGCTCAGCCCCACGCGGGAGGGCGGCTCCGGCGGGCGCCCCAGCGTGCACGGGCCTGGGAGCCTCCACGCCCAGCGACAGAAACCAGTGCCCGAGGGACGGGCCCCGCGTGTTCCCACTCGGTCCCTCGAGTCTCGGGTGGGCGCAGAGGGAGGAGGTGAAACGGTGGCCGTCACCTCGGGGCTGGAAGCCAGGGTGTGACGAGTGCGCAGTGCTGACCCAGGCCTGCAGGTGCCGGTGCTGGCGGTCGCCCTGCGCAGTCGCCGGGCTTCCTGCCCCTGAACTGGACGCGCGAAAACGGTGAGGACGGCACTTTATACTGTGTGCATTTTACCACGTTTTTGTAAAGTGGAAAAAAACGGAAAAAGACCAGGAGGCAGAAGCAGGGCCAGCCTGGGCCTCTCGCCCAGGCCCCTGAGGGCTCACCTGGACAGCCCGGCTCAGAGGGTGCCCCTGGGCTGGGCAGGGGCGCCCCGAGGTCAGGGAAGGGTAGGGTGTGGGTGGGCGGCAGAGGGGAGGCGCATTCCAGGCAGCCGGTGAGCAGCATGTGGGGCGGGGCCGTGTGGGGCGGGCATGTGCCGTGAGTTCGTCTGAAAGGCTCTCACAGAGGCCGTGGGAGGTCAGAGAGGCAACTCGGGGTGGAAGGGGCCAGGCCCATGACCTGCAGCTGCGGTGACGCCGAGCTCCTGCAGCTGTGGGGCCTGGGCCCGGTTCCCCGGCGTCCAGACACGGGGCAGGGGGTCATCAGGGGTCTCGGCAGCCCAGGGCCAGGCTCGCAGGCTGTGCGGCGGGGGCTGGGCCCCCAAGGCCCACGTGCCAGGCAGCTGGGATGGCCAGGACTCCCCGAGGCCAGCCACAGGGACTTCCCTCCCCCGTCCCTCCGGTTGGTCCCTCGGGTCGAGGAAACCGGCCAATTGTTGGAGGCTGGAGCCGGGGGGCAGGGCCCGGAGGCCTCCAGGAAGCCCCCAGCTGTTCCCTTTGCCTCACTTCCCACAGGCCCGCACCCCGGCAGGATGAAGGCGCTCATGGCCGCTCTGCTGGCCCTGCTGCTGTGCAGACAGCCAGGTACCGGGGCGGGGGCCACCCTGCAGCAGGGCGGGGACAGGGACCCCCGCCTGAGGACCAGACCTGGTTTGGGCAGAGAGAGGGAGTGAGGCTGCAGTCTGAGGCCGGAGGGAGGGGAGGGGAGCCGCCCCGGGCTGCCCCAGACCTCCAGATCTCCGCAGCACCCCCCTCCCGGCCCCCCACCGCCCCAGCCAGTCCCAGGGGAGGGTCATGGGCTCCCCTCCCCTCAGCCCAAGTCTCAGCCTCTCTGAAACACAAGCTTCCAGGTCCCCTCCCCTCTCCCAGCCTCAGTTTCCTTTCCTGTAGCACGGCCGGGCCGGCAGGCCTGAGGGCTGGGGTGGGGCTGCCAGACAGGGCCGGCCCGGCAGGCGGCATTGCAAGGACGGTGCCGGGCCACACGCGGTGAGTCAGCCTGGCCGGGCCAGCGGGGACCCGGAGACCGGAGACCGCAGCAGCCTGGGACATGGACGGGGGGTGGGGGGGCGGGGGACAGGTGTAGGGGTGGGGGCGCGGCGCCCGCCGAGAGTGCATCCTCTGTGCCTGAGGATGGGGCTTCACAGGTGCCCCCGCGCAGCCGGGGCGAGGACAGGCACAGGACGACCTGGACCACACAGAGGAGGACGAGGACGAGGACGAGCAGGGGGACGAGGAGGAGGACGAGGACGAGGACGAGGAGGCCGGCGCGCCTGCGGGCAGCAGAGGAGGAGGTACCCGCCCCTCCCCCGCCGAGGCACGGGCCCTCTCTCTTTCAGCTTTTCTTGGGGGCGCCCCAGCTCCCTGGCCAGGTCCGGGGCTGGAGTGATTGGTGTGCACCGTCGGGCACAGGCTGCCGGTGGGCCCACCTCCCCGTGGGGCGGGGCAGGGGGTGAGGTGGGGGCCCTGACGCTCAGCAGGCAGCACCCCTCCCCTCTCACCCTGACTGTGACCTTCAGCGGCTGCGCAGAGCAGGCGCCCAGGGAAGAAGCCAGCAGGGGCAGGCGGTGGTGCTAGGGCAGAGAGGGGTGCAATGCGGCCCTGGCGTGGAGGGGCCTGTGGACACCAAGGCCCTGGGTGTGGATTCCACCGGAAAGATGTGGGCAGTCTGGCCCTGAGGGGCGGGGGGGGGGGCAGTGGGACCACCCCGGGGCAAGGGTGTGGGTGGGCTCCTGCCGGGGACAGGGAGCCAGAGGGAGAGGAGAACCCCATCCCCACCGCTCACCCTGCCACCACCCCCGACGGCTGGGGCCACCCCCCCCGTCCCGCCCACGGGGACCAAGCGGAGCCGTGGGCACCACCGACCTGACCTGCGTGGCCTGCGGCTCCCCGCTCGCCTCTGCCTCCACCCCCGGCAGGCCCCTCCCCACAGCCAGCGCCCGCCTCCACACTCCCCGTGGGCTCTCGGCCCCCAGGCCGTGGCCGGGGTGGGCTCTGCTGGCCAGTCCTCGGGAGGGGGCCCGGCAGGCGGGCCCAACAGCAGAGCTGGCTCTGCGGGCACCAGCCGAGGCAGGCAGGCGGATGGGCCGGCATCGGCAGGTCTGGAGGGGACGGGGCCGGCCCTGGGAGCCGGGGCCCCGGGGACGGTGGCCGCAGCAGAGCCTGCCTGTCCCCAGGGCTGCAGTGCTACGCCTGCCAGAGCCTGCCCCAGCAGGAGCACTGCCACCAGACGCACAGCTGCCACCCAGACAAGCCCTTCTGCAACACCATCATCTCCGAAGGGGACACAGGTGAGCGGCAGGCAGGCACCCGCAGGGCGCATGCCTCGTGGGGCCTCGCCCCGACCCAGACGTCCGGGCTGACCGCCCTCTCTCCGCCCCCCTCCCAGGATCCGGTCCTCTGACCAGTTACTCGGGGTGGTGCTCGGCCGAGTGCAAGCCCATCACCAGGATGACAGGCGGGACCCTGATAACCATGACCTGCTGCCAGACCAACCTGTGCAACACCCCGCCCTGGCAGAGCCAGCCTGGCACTGGGGCGGGGGGCCCCCAGGGCAGCTCCGAAACTGTGGCCACTGCCCTCCTGCTCAGCCTCCTCCCTGGCCTCGGGGCTATGGGGTCCTGAGCTCGGCGGCTCCCCTCCACCCCAGCCTGGCTCGTCCCCGGGGCCAGGGCCGCATCCGAGGCTGTGCCCCGCTCTCCCCACCCCACCCCACCCCACCCCACCCACCCGCTTTGGAGAATAAACTCGGACAGCCGGCCCCCGCCCCTCCCAGGCCCTCTGCGTGTCCTCAGTCTGGCCTCCTCGCCCCCCTGCCACTGCTTGCCGGCCTTGGGTCCGGGCCTCGGCCACCCCCTGTGTGCCTGGGGGAGCCCCACACCCCTCTCTCCCCAGCCTCCTGCCTCCATCCACTCACCTGCCTCCCAGCCCCCCCAGGGGGCTTTTGGGAGGGAGGCTGCAGAGGCCGGGCTGGGCAGGAGGTGGAGTGAATGCAGGGGAGCTGACAGGAGGAAAGCGTGAGACGGGAGGGTGGGCTGAGGGGGGACTTGCCAGCCAGCACCCCCCAGCCCGGTGGGTGTAGATTGAGGGGAGGGGGGGTGGGGAGGACGGTGGAGGAGGGGCCCAGAACAGGCCTGGGGGCTGCTGAGGAGAGCAGGAAGTGGGAGGGGGTGGGCAGGGGAGCCCAGCCCTTCCTGCGCCACACGGGGCGGGTCTGTCCCTGTGGCTCCCTTGGCATCTGCCCTGGCTGGGCTGGGCTGCGCGCCAGCCGCTGTGCCCTGGGCCTTTCTGCCCGCACCCAACTCGGCTTCCACTAGGGGCCGGTGCCAGGACAGAGCCCTGGGGCGGCGGAGGGAGGCGGCCGGCCTGGGCCTCAGTCCCTCCGTCAGAGCAGTCGCTCCGTGGAGCAAGGCTTAGCGGCCCCCCGGGCCCTCACCGCTCAGCCTCCCCGGGAGGTCTGGAGGCCTCTGCCGCCCGCTGTCTCCCCCCCCCCCCCCGGCAGGCGGCGCGGCGCCGCCCCGCTGCCCCCTTCCCCTCCTCCCTCACAGGAAACTCAGGTCTAGCTGGAGGTGAGGGGCGAACCCCCTAGGTGAAGGTGGCATGCCTTCTTCCCCTTCAGCCCTTCTGCTGGCTGGGACGATGGCCGGAGCTCAGCATCCACCTTGCACCATGAGGCAGCACGCAGGGTTCCAGGCAGGGCAGCCTGGTGAAGGGGCCAGGGTCACGGATGACCTGGAGCCACCACACCAGCCCCGCACTGCCGGACCCAGGACCCTGTCGCCTGGGAGTGGGCGCACCTCTGTCGCGCTGCAGCTGGTTGTTTCGTGGGCGCTCACCCATGCACGTGCACATGCACACTCCTGGGCACACCCTCCCGCACAGCCCCTGTTAAGGCCTGGGGTAAGGGCTCTGCCCTGCCGCTCAGATGCTGCTGAGGCTTCCCAGTGGGACTCGGGCCCCGTACGGTGAAGGGGAAGGCCGAGAGGCCGCGGCCAGGCCTCGGGTCTGAGTTGGCCGTTCCCCCACCGTGTGACCTTCGCAAGCCTGTCAGCCCGCCTGCCTCAGGGCCCTGCTCTGCCCCCGGGCCGGGGCCCAGGCCCTGGAGCTCTCACCTGCGGGAGGCGTCCTTTCGTCCCTCTACCCCTCTTCCCGGCATCGGCATCGGCGCAGCCCTCTGGCCCTTCTCCCTTCGATGACCCCCACCCCACCCACTGGCCCCAAATGGGAAAGAAACCAGTGAGCTCTCTAGGCTGGACTCCTTCCCAAGTTGCCTCGCCACCACCCCCCCCAAACCAGCCCCCGGGGCTGCGCCGGGGACCTGCGTCGTCCTGTACTCCCTGGCTCCGGGAGGAAGCTCGGGTGGACACTGTGTTCCCTTCTTTTCGGGGCTCAAACGACCCGCCAGCTGGAGCCTGCGGCCTCTGGGGTCCGCCCACCCGGGGAGCAGACCTTCCTTAGCCCTCCCTTCCATGCAGCCTCCGACCTCCCCAAAGATGTGGGAAGGTGCCGGGTCCCCTTCCCCGCTTCCCGCCCCCCCCCCCCGCCCAGATCCATTTTGTCCCGGGTGCCTGAGTGCCCCGCCTTGGGTTACCTGCCCTCCTGCGCTCCCCCCACCCCACCCACTCTTGGCTCCTGGGAAGTTCCTCCGGCCAGCACGGGAAGCAGGTGGCCGCGGTCTCATTTCCTGTCCTTGTTCCAGACCTTGAGAGTGGGGCAGGGACCCAAAGTAGGATACTCCTGAGGACAGAGACTCTGAACAGTGCCCACCCCCCCGCCACTCCGCCCCCGCCCCCCAGGAAGACCCGGGGCTGCAGGGGCTGCAGGGCCCAATGGGCCGGGGCAGGTCCGCGCTCCTGGGTCCGGGCAGGAGCTTGCGGAGCAGAGGGGAGGACTCAGGCCCGCACGCGTCTCGGAGCAGTGCCCGGGACTGCAGTGCCCGGGACTGCCTGGCGGTCCGGCCGGGGCGCGCGCGCCAGCAGGCAGGCGCTGTCCAGCACGCAGGCGTTGGCGTCCGAGGCCGCGGGAGCAGGAGGCTGGCGGTTGTGTGCAGGGGCTCCGAGCGGGGCTGCCCGTGGGACCAGGGCTGGGTCTCCAGGCCTCGGAGAATCGGCGGGGGCGGGGGCGCTGTGCAGGGAGTGACGTCGGGAAGCGTGCACTCGTGGCTCCCCCTTACTTCATCATTCCCGCCAGAGAGAACCCGAGAGGAGCGGGACGCAGGGGTGAGTGCGCTGGGGTGCGCGGGAGAGCGAGGGCGGGCCCCTGGCTGGTGTGGCTCCGGTGGGCGCCGACCTCCGAGCCTAGGATTCCCGGTCCGCGCACTGGCCTGGGCTGCCGGTTCGTTCCCGGTTGGGGGCGCGCGAGAGGCAACTGACCAGTTTCTCTCCCTCTCTTTCTCCCTTCCCCTGTCTGTAAAAATAAATACGTAAAATCTAAAATATATATATATATATTGAAAAAAAAGAGTGAACGGGGGCCGCAGGGGTGAAGGAGGGGGCTCGGGGATCAGTGAGGGGTCCCAGACGAGTGGGAGGAGCGGGTTCAGGGGCGGAGCCCTCCGCGGCCACCACCGAGAGGCCCGGAGTCCCGCCTCCTAGAGCGGCCCGGGAAGGCGCGTGGCCCGCGGCTGGCGGTTGCGGCGGGCTCGGCCGTCCTGCTACTCGGTGGTCCTGCTGCTCCGCTGAGTACTGGTGTGCGGCGGCGCTCAGCGAGGGTGGCGCCCCTTCCAGGGAGCCCGCTTCCAGCCACGGACTCCCGGGGTCACTCCGGCGTGGCGTGGGCCCCGGCGCAGGGCGCCGGCCTCCCCACCTCAGCTCCAGGCGCCGCCGGTGGAGGGCGAGGCTGAGCGAGGACCAGCCCCGCGCGGATGGAGGTGAAGGCGTCGCCCCTGGCCCTGCGCGCGCGGCCCGCGAGGCTCTGTCCTGGGCGGGGCGCTGCCCAGCTCGAGGCCCTTCGCATCCTCCTCAGCACAGCCACTGGCCCCTGCAGGCCAGGGCCCAGCAGACTGGGTGCATGTTTGTCCCTGGAGCTCAAACCACTGGTGATGCGGTCTCTCGGTGAGGCCCAGGCTCCTGCAGGCAGCTGGAGAGGGGGCCGGGCCCAGCGAGGGTCCTGGTCCCATAGGAAGTGGAGAAGGACCGAGCAACTCCAGTTTGGGGACCACAGAGTAGAGGCTGGCGTGTGGCACACGTCAGCCCTCCCGGACACGGGTGGGGAGGCCTCGTGCCCTGGTGGAGGAAGAAAACGCCGCGGTCAGCAACCGAGCAGGTGCCGTGTACAGAGGCAGGACACGGTTCGGAGTGCGGGGGGCGGGGTCCTGGGAACCCAGGGTTCCGTGAGGCCTCGTCCAGTCCGAGACGCTCCTTAGATGTGCAGACCGCAGGACAGGGGCAGGGAGGCGAAGGGAGCTACATCCCCATGGGCCCGGCCCCTCCCTCAGTCCTCCTTCGGGAAAGAGCTCAGCGTGTCTGCCCAGACGCCCGTCTGACGCTCCGGCTCCTGTGGCGGCCGCGGGGTTGCTGCCTCTCCGCTCTCCCTTGCAGGTTCCTGCTCCAGCCGCCGCGTGAGCCCGGAGCAGTGGGGAGCTGTGTCTGAGGCAGGGCCTCGCTGGAGGAGTGGCCACGAAGAAAGGAATTTGCCCAGCGGGAGAGGAGAACGGTGCCCTGCCCGTTCCATTAGCCCTCACGGGCGTCCCACGGCCCTTCCTCCCCGGGGAACGGAAAGATGGAAAAGCGCACAGGCCAAAAGATGACGCAGGGCCTCAGGGAGCACACGGCTGTGCGGAGGGACGCCGCCAAGGACCGGAAGGCGTCCGGGGCCGGAGGGCCCGGCAGGAGGGCCGCCCTGGCTAAAAAGCACAGTAAGGAGCTCAGCCTGAGCGCCGAGGCCGAAGCCCACATGTTCAACGCCTTCGACGCTTCCTTCAGAGATGACTTCGAGGGCGCCCCCGTGTTCGTGCCCTTCCAGAGGAAGAAGCCCCACGAGTGCGGCGAGTGCGGGCGCGTCTTCAGGCACAAGACGGACCACGCCCGCCACCAGAGGGTGCACACCGGGGAGAAGCCGTTCCAGTGCGCCCAGTGCGGGAAGAGCTTCCGGCACAGCTCCGACGTCACCAAGCACCGGAGGGTCCACACGGGGGAGAAGCCCTTCACCTGCGGCGCCTGCGGGAGGGCCTTCAACTGCGGCTCCAACCTCCTGAAGCACCAGAAGACTCACACGGGCGAGAAGCCGTACGGGTGCGAGGAGTGCGGGAAAACCTTCGCCTACAGCTCCTGCCTCATCCGCCACCGGAAGCGGCACCCCCGGGGGAAGCACTGAGCGCGGCGAAGCTGGCCGGGCGGCTCCTCCGGCGGCCACCGCTGCCGGGCACCTGCCGTGGCTGCAGCCCTCTCGCCTGCTCCAGGGGATGTTGGCCTGCAGCCCCTTGGCCCACTGGGTCCCCGGCCCGTCCCCGTGCAGGCAGCAGGAGGCCTGTGGCCCTGAGCCAGACGGCAGTCTTCCAGGAGGACCGCTGTCCCCCCTTGGCTGGCTGCGGTGACCGTCCTTCAGCCCGTGAACTCAGCCCCATCCCCAGGAACTAGACGCCCTGTGACACGTGTCCTCTCGGCCCGGCCACCATCCCGGATAAGTGGCCTGATTTACACAGACCACGTGGGCCACATGGGGCAGGGCTCCTGGGGCCTGAAGGCTGCTGCGTGGGAGCTTCCTTCCACGGCCACGGGCCGGGGCCCCGTCTGCCGATGGCAGCTTCCCCCAGCCTGCACCTCCCACGCAGGAGCCCGCTGTGCGTGGCCGCGTGCCCGGCTCCAGGGCTGGGCTCTCTGTGCAGGTGAGTTCCGCAGCTCTGACCTTGGCCCCCAGGTTCCACCCCACCCCCGGTCACGTCCCCGTGCTGGGCCCGCCCGGGTCTCCCTCGGGAGTGGTCTGCGAGGGGCTCCGCTCTCCAGGGCTGTGCCGCTTGTCCCAGAACCTCCAGACAGTCTAAGGGGGCGAGGAGACCGTCAACCCGGAGATAACGAGGCTTTTTATTCGGAAAAGGATGGTGCCTACATTTTCACTCCATCGGACCCAAAACCAACAATGGCTTGAGGCTCTGGGGACTCTGTCTCCTGAGAAGGCCTGCGCTCCGGGAAGACAGGCCCCTCCTCCGGCACGGGAGGGGCCCAGACACGGGAGGGGCTCCGGTGGCCTGGCGCTACTCCTGGTCTTTCTAGAAGCTGTGACGTCGTGACACCCACCTGAGCTGGGCCCCGGCTGGCCCCAGGGTGTGCGAGGAGCATCCCGCCCACCACCACCCCCCCCCCGCCCGGGACGCGCTCTCGCTGTTCTGGAAATGAGACCTGACGAGGCGGAACTTCGGAAGCAGGTGCCAGAAGCCGGCCTCGCGGAGACACAGACGCGCGACCCCACGTTTGAAGGACATTCCCGGGAGGTTGGCAGACCTCGGGTCTGGACTGCCCGCCGGGTGGCCGGGCCACGCCCGTGTCGGAGCTCCCGGGTTCGAGCGGGCCGGTGGCTGGCCCACACCACGTCCCGAGGCACGGGGTCACAGGCCTGCGGCTCATGCTCGGGCGTCTCCTGGAGACCAGAGGTGACGGTGCAGGCGAGCGCACCGAGAGTGACCGCAAGAGCTGTGAAGGGCCAGCCCACGCCTGTTCTGGGCTGGCTCTGCCGCCGCGAGGTCTCCGTCATCAGCTCCGCCATCACCTGCGACGGCGGCCGCCCACGGCGCGGAAGCGGAGGAGCGCAGCCGTGCGCCCGTATCGTGTGCTCTACAGAGCCGGGCTGGGCCGGGCTGGACGGAGGGTGCGTGAGCTCGCCCCCCGCGATGCGCGCAGTCACTGCGGCGCTGCTGCAGAGCACGCAGCGTGCGTCACCACCCGCCCCTTACGCCGTAGGAAAACGGTGGTTTCTGTGCGGCGGCGCCGCACACCCTCGTGCGTAGGAAGCACTGGTTTCTGAGGCTGCATCGTGACCCACCGCCTTCACTATGAGTGATGCTGCGACACATGTCTTTTCCACACTCAGGGCCGACAGGAGGGTCCCCTGGAGGGGACTGGCAGGCGGAGGCGAGGCTGGCGGAGCCCTTCCTGCAGGTGCACTACGCAGGCTCCCAGCAGCGCCCAGACGGCCCGCTCCCCGGCCTCCAGCGGCAGGCAGGTGGGTCCTGATCCTCGTCAGTTCCGTAGGAGGGAGAAAACTCAAGCTGATCAGGTGTCTGGTTTCTGGAGGGGAAGCAGGTGGCCAAGGGCAGAAGCTCTCGGGCCAGGGGCTGCCAACCTGACCCCGCGCTCTGGAGACGTGGGACCTTAGGCAGGTTGCTTAACCCCCTGTGCCTCGGTTTCCTCGGATGTGAATGGGGCAGCTGCCGCAGCCCAGTGACCTCAGGTGCGCAGGCCTCGGGGCAGCGCTGGCCCGCCCCGACCAGGGGCCTGAGGGCGTCCGCTCTCCACCCGTGTGCGCGCTGTCTGGGGGGCGTGCTCCCTGCAGGCTGACGGCCTTCACCGCCTCTCCCGGGACGGGACGGCAGCTCCCTCCAACCGAATCAACCTGGGGAGCAACAGAAAGATACCTAACAAGATAGTGCCCTTGGAACTTTTACAGATTCGGTGCACGGTGATCAGAGAAAGCGCACGTCTCACCCTAAACAGTTCGCGGTCTTCTTTGGCCCCCTGTCGTGTTGGGCGGACAGACGGGCCCTGTCCCGTCCCTGCTGAGTCAGCGGTGGCGGCCCAGCCGGGCGCCTCGGGGGCGGGGGCCAGGGAGCCGGGTTCTGCTCCTGCTCCAGCTCGGAAGCCAGGGCTGCCACGTGAACCTCTGCTCTCGGGTGTTTTGTTGTGCCAGGGGCACTCAACCTGCGTTCCAGGAAAAGAAATCCTTGTGAGCCACCCCCTGAAAAAATACTGAAAGTGATGACATACGTAAGCTTCAGTGACAGTGAAAATGCCACTCACGGGTGCGAGTCCCCCTCGGCCCCTGTCCCGGGGAGCGGGAGGGCTGGGGGTCAGAAAGTGGGGCAACCTCCCCCGTCCTTCGGAGGACGACAGGCGAGGGCAGGGGGCGAGACGCAGGACAGCCACCCGTCACGGGGACGGGCGCCGCCGAGGGTCAACAGGGACAGGCTGGTTCTTCGACAGGACAGCGCTGAGCGCGGGCAGTGCGTCCCAGGAGACGCCGGCCTGATCTTTACGGTTTGGAGTGCAAAACCAGGCCACACCGAGCGGCGTGGCGTGTGGGACGCGCAGCAGCACCGGAGGGGAGAGAGCGGCCGTCACCGAGCCCTGGGGGGACGCTTCCCCGGTGGCAGGCAGGCCCCCCCGGGCTTGGGGCCGGCGTGTCGGTCCATCGCTCTTGACGGCATCGTGCGCACGCCGAGTCTGCGTGTCCCACGTGTTTCCCGACTTGAGTTCAGAACAAAATTGAGCGCTTTCCTGGACGCCCTGTTGCCGTCCAGGTGTGGGGTCTAAGCCACACCTCCCCGCCTTCCCCCTCATCAAACTGTGTCCTCACGTCTGTGGTTGGCTTTTCCCCAATAAAGGAAGCAGGGAGTAATCACACTTTTTTTTTAAAGATTTTATTTATTTACTTTTAGAGAGAGGGGAAGGGAGGGAAAAAGGGAGAGAGACATCCATGTGTGGTTGCCTCTCACGCGCCCCGTACTGGGGACCTGGACCGCAACCCAGGCCTGTGCCCTGACTGGGAATCGAACTGGCCACCCTTGGGTTCGCAGGCCAGCGCTCAGTCCACTGAGCCACACCGGTCGGGGGTAACTGCACTTCTTTATTCGAGGAGCATTTCTGGTCTCTCAGGCTGTGAGAGTAGACTGTGTCCAGAGCGAGACGTTCCCGATGGGACGTGCGTGAAGAGGAGCCTCCGGACCCACAGGGTAGCCCCGCGTTCCCGAGCGCCTCCTCCGAGAGGGACGGAGGTCACGGGCAGGCAGAAAGGAGAGCGGGGTCCGCCTCTCCGGCCGAGGGACAGCTGGGGGCCCAGGTGTGGAGAGGGCTGTCCCTGCGGGAGGGGACGCTCCAGGGACGCGCCGGCAGGCGTGAGCAGGCCAGCGTTTCGTCTGGGGCCCCGGGAGAACTGGCCTCGACTGCGGGGCCTTCCCGGGACCCCAGACCTCTGCGGGGCGGGCGGGCCCACGGCTGCGTGCTCTCCCCCTGCCCAGCAGGCACCTCAGCTCGGCGCGGGCCCGGTGTCCCGGGAACGCTGCAGGCCAAGAATGTCCCCAGCCAAACGCTGGCTCAGGGTCCCAGACCTCAGGGCGCCTCCCCTGTGTCACAGGAGGATGGACGGCGGCGATCCCAGACCCGCCTCGGGTCACACCGCTGCTTATACCACTGGTCACACCGCTGGCTCCACCTCGGTCCAGCGTGGAGGGCACAGGCACGGCTCCAGGGGGACCTGGTGTCTGGGTGCGGGCCACACAGGACCTCGAACAGACATGGGGACACCTGCGATGTCCCGGCAACTTGACATTGATGGTGCCGAGTGCACCATCAATGGTGCACTCTGTGAGCCTCACCCCCCTCGACCTGAGGGCAGGTGGGGAGCCAGCACCCCACCGAGGGGCAGCAGGCACTGAGGGCCAAGGAGCGGGCAGGGCTCGGTCCTCTCCCTGCGGGCAGGGGCCCCTCAGCGACCTGGGCCCTGGTTGTCCTTGCACCAGGGCCCACCGCATTCCAGCGGCAGCAGGGCGTCCCCCGGACTTCACTTCCAGTGACCTCTTGTGCCGCGGAGCCTGCACAGGCCACCTTCGGGGTCCTCCACACCCGGGAGTGGGTTTGCCCGCTGCTTAGTGCCTGCAGTCCTGACTCCCCGGGGGTCGGGGGAAGGTCGGGGAGGCCCCCCGGAGCCTGGGGCCGCCTACCGGGGGTCCTGATCCCCCCTGGAGGGGCTGGGGCGGCCCCTCAGGCCTGTTTGCTCAGTGTGCCCCTCCAACAGGGGCGAGTCAGTCACCCAGAAGGGTTCGCGGACAGCGCCCGCGGGCATGTGTGGGTGTCAGCAACTGAGAGGAGGTGCCACTGGCACCTGGTGGGTGGGGACGGGAACGCTGCTGGGTGTCCCCCAGGGCGAGGGCCAGGGGTTGGCGGGGCGGGATCCGGGGAGACCCGCAGGTCCGGGGAGCTGCCGGCCAGGTTTTGCTTTAGCAGCCGGAGGCTGGGAGAGATCTTTCGGCAGAAGGCGGAGCACTTGCTCGGCGAGATGCCCGTTCGGGCGGCGGAGCCTGGCGGGGCCGGGGACCAGGCGGGGGCGCAGGCGGGCCGAGAACGCGGCGAGCGGCCGCGGGGAGCAGCTGGAGCCCCAGGTCCGCCCTCACGTCGCCGAAACGAGCCCGGCGGGGCGGCGCGGGGCGGCCGGGCACGGGGGACTCGGAGAGCGGCGGGTCCAATGTGTCCCCCCATCGCGGGCCTCGGGGCCGCCGAAGCCGCAGTCCTCCGGGCGCCCAGAGCGGCCGGAAGTGCGCTCGGCCGGGGCGGGGCGGGCGCGGGTTCACTTCCGGCCGGCGCGGGCGCGAGCGCGGGCTCGGCGGCCGCCTCGGGCTCCGAAGGTGAGTGGGCGCCGTAAGCCCTCGCGGGGCTCGTCCCCGCCAACCCCGCCCCGGGGCCGCCGCCGCGTGACCTTGACCCCGGCCCGGGGGTGGCGCGGGGTGTCCCGGAGCCGAGAGGAGGCCTCCGCCGGGGGCGGGGGCCGCCGTGCCCACTTCGCAGCCGGGGGACCGAGGCTCGGGCCCTTTCCCACCGGGCGGCGGGCCCGGCTCCGCCTGCGGGGGGGGGGCGGAGGCAGGTCTGCCGGGCGCGGCGTCTGCGCCCCGCGTGCCCGCCGCGCGGCCGCCCTGCGGCTCCATCTCGGCGGGAGCGCCCTCGCCCCGGCACCGGCACCGCCGCAGCCGTTCCCGCGGAGCAGATCGGGGCAAAGCGGCTTTGGCCCCGGGGCGGCTGGGGGGCAGGAGGTCCTTCCGGGGGGACCCGCCTGCTTTTGGGGGGCGAGGCCGTGGGCCGGGTGACGTTCCAGGGTCGGGCCGCTCTCGGGGCAGAGCTTCTCGGCGCGGCTCCTGCAGGCGCGCTCCTGGGTCCCGGGCGCGGGAGCCGCCCGGCACCCCCGCCCCACGCGGCACCTGCGGCGCCCCGCCCTCCCGCCCAGCTCGCGGGGCCCGGCCCCCCTCGCGCCCCTCGTGCTGCCCCGCTTCTCGTTCCCCAGGTCCCGGGCGAGCGCACCTTCGTCGGGCCTTGAGGACGATGGCGGCCCCGGGGGGCTGTCAGCAGCCGCCTCGTGTCCCGGCCCCTGTGAGCCTCAAGTCGCCGGGGACCCCTGGAGCCCACCACCCGGAGGCCCGGCTCCGCTCCCACAGTCGGCAGCACGGTACTGGCGCCCCCCCCCCCCCGCACCGCCAATCCCCGGGGGCGGCGGGACCGAGGCGGCTGGGGGCTGAGCTTCGTGAGCAAAGGTCCCTCGGGGACGGCCCCTGGGACCGTTTTTCGCTTGCGAGGGGCATCTGGGCAAAACCAAGCGCAGCCTCAGTGCCTGGGTCCTCTGTGGGGTCAGCGAGTCCTCGTATCGCCGCCCCCGCCCCCCAGACTTTGAAAGTCGCCTCCTGGCTCTGGGCAGGCTGGTTAGGGCGGGGCCCCAGGGGCCTTGCTCCAAGCCCTGAGCACATGGTACCCTGGGCCCTGCCTGCGCTCAGAGGTCAGGGAGCCCTGGGGGGGCCCATGCCCCCGACCCGGCCTCACAGCCGAGGACACAGATAAGCTGAGATCCGTGGGAGGCAACGGTGCCGGGTGCCAGGCTCTGGGCGGGTCGTCCTGGAGGCTGGGGGTGCGGGGAGGGCTCACTGGGTGCTGCACAGGCCTTTGCCGGGCCGGCTGCCCTCCCTGCACGGCGGTTTCAGCGCCTTGCCCCAGGCCCCCAGCACCAGGTCCCTGCCCGTGTCCCCTGCCACATGCAGTCAGGACGTCAAGGCCCCCACGTCACCTTTGAAACGTCCTGGCAAGGCAGGACGTCCTGTCCCCATGTTTTCAATGGGGGCGCGGAAGCCCACAGGGCTCAGACCACGTCAGTCTGCGTCACCAAGCCCTTGGCCCGAGGCTGGGCGCAGCGAGCCACGGCTCCTCCTCTTGAGGGTCGGGCCGATGGGATGTGGGACTGGGGAGGGGCCGTCCTGAAGGTCGTCCTGACGGGACCCACCCCGGGCTGCACCAGCAGAGACCAGCCCTGGACGGCTCCCGCCCAGAAGGCCCTGAGCCACGGCCAAGGGTCTGGAGACGTGGCCCAGGGGGAGGTGGGGTGCCGTGCCCAGGAGCTCCCAGGGTTGGCCCCGAAGGAGAGAGCGTGGGTGGAGACGAAGCCCTGGAGGGGGTGCTGTGTGCTAGGGGTCGTGACCTAGGAGCAGGTGGCATCGTGCAGGTTGCAGAGAGAGCCCTGGGTCTGAGTGGGTTGCAGGGAGATGAGCCCTAGACCCCAGGCTCCCTCGGCCGAAGCCCTGAGGTGCTCTCCCAGCCCCCGTGGGAGGAGGAGCTGTCAGGAGACACGGAGGGGGGCCGAGGGGGCAGGGACACCTGCCGGCCGGGTGGGGGAGCAGAGGCTGCCCTGCGCCGGGCTCTGTGCAGCCTCACCGCCCCAGGCGCCACCACTGCTGGGCCCCTGGGCCCCTCTGGCCCCTGGCTCAGCGCTCACCTCTGCCCCCCCAGGCCCCTCGCCCATTCAGACTCCTCACCCGACACTTGTGGGTGCCCCCAGACCCCCACAGCCACCTGCCTGTCCCACTGGGGTCCCTGACTCAGCACCCCTGGCCTCCACTTGTCCCCCCACCCCCACCCCCACCCACCTGCCCAGGAGAAGCCCCGGGGATGTCCGCCGGGCACAGCTCCCCACCCCGCCTGGAGACCCTGCAGGGGTCCGAGATACGGCAGTTGCCCCCTGACCTCGGCCAGTGCCGGGAAGAGCTGTGGAGCAGCAGCCTGGCGTCCTCACCCCTGCAGGGTCCGGGCGGCACCCTCTGGAGCCGGGGCTGTGGCTTCCCCGGGTCTGGGCCCTGTCAGGCCCGTACTCAGCCTGGTCCCAGCACTGTGGCGCCCCTGCCGGTTGGCCCCCAGAAGGGCAGAGCGGCCCAGTGGGTGGGTGGGTGGGCGCTAGCAACCTCTCCCAACTGTCTTTTCAGATTCTGAGGCGGAGCCCGAGCAGGCTCTGCCGTCTCCGCATCTGCAGGATGCTGGACGCGAGGTGGACCAGGACGGAGGGGCACTGAGGACCCTTCTGAGGGGTCTGCCCTGCAGGCCCCAGTGTGCGGACAGCCTCGGACAGGAGCCCGGCTCGGAGCAGCGTGCAGGCCATTCGTCCGGAGCCGGCGGGTCCTGCCTGCCCAAGAGGGGCGCCTGGCGTGTGACTCTCAGGCCGCTGGGAGCCTCAGGGACGGCGGGCGGCTCGGAGCTGGGGGACGGCTTCGGCCGGGGCTCGGGCCTCGGGGCCTTGCAGGGCGGCCCGCGCAGCGCGAAGCCGCACCGGTGCGAGGCCTGCAGCAAGAGCTTCAAGTACCACTCGCTGCTGCTGAAGCACCAGCGCATCCACACCGGCGAGAAGCCCTATGCCTGTCACGAGTGCGACAAGCGCTTCCGCGGCTGGTCCGGCTTCATCCAGCACCACCGCATCCACACGGGCGAGAAGCCCTACGAGTGCGGCGAGTGCGGCCGCGCCTTCAGCCACAGCTCGCACTTCACGCAGCACCTGCGCGTGCACAACGGCGAGAAGCCCTACGCGTGCGCCGAGTGCGGCCAGGCCTTCAGCCAGAGCTCCAACCTGCTGCGGCACCGGCGGCTGCACACGGGCGAGAAGCCCTACGCTTGCAGCCAGTGCGGCAAGGCCTTCGTCTGGAGCTCCGTCCTCATCGAGCACCAGCGCATCCACACGGGCGAGAAGCCCTACGAGTGCGCCGAGTGCGGCAAGGCCTTCCGCGGCCGCTCGCACTTCTTCCGGCACCTGCGGACGCACACGGGCGAGAAGCCCTTCGCCTGCGGCGCCTGCGGCAAGGCCTTCGGCCAGAGCTCCCAGCTCATCCAGCACCAGCGGGTGCACTACCGGGAGTAGCGGCCGCGCCGAGCCGGTGGGGTCCGGCGGCGCTCCAGCCGCCTCGCCCTTCCGGCTGGCACCGCGCACCTGGCGTCCCCAATAAATTCTTTCTAACTGATGGTAGCCGGAGCCACTCCCGCCTGGGCGAGGCCGCGGGCTGCTTCCTGTCCCCAAGGGCCTGTCTCGGGGAGGAGCGGCAGGGGGCCCTAAGAGCGCCCCCTCTGGGCTCCCCGGGGACTGAGGCCCGGGGGGTGTCCTGAGTACCCGGAGCCACACCCAGGGCGTGGTCGGGCCCCTCAAGGTGGGTGTCAGCAGAGGCCCCGCTCATCCTGGCCTGGCGGTGCAGTCCCCTCGCGACCCGGGGAGAGTGCGCGGGGCTCGTCGTCCCCGCAGCAAGCCCCAGGCCGGGTCTAAAGGCCGCCTGCGGGGCCTGCCGCACCCGCCTCTGAGCCATCGGACTCCCGGCCCTGGGGAGAGCTCAGCCAGGCGGTGATGGCCGAGCCTCCGGCAGCCCGTGCCCGCCCTAACCCTGTGCTGCCTGCTCCCTCCTGGGCGGGGCGGCGCCGCCCCGCAGTCGGGAGCTCCCAGCCCCCCTCCCCGCAGGCTGCCACTCCGAGCCGCGCCCCAGTGTTTGCCGCCTGCTGGACGTGGTCCGCAGGGCCCCGTGGTTGAGCCACCGCCCCTCTGCAGGCCACGGCCCTGGGCCCTGAGGCCGCCAAGTGCTTTGGAATCCCCACTCTGTGCCCCCCCTGGGTGAGGGGCACCCCCCCCCCCCGGGGAGGGCTGGAGGCCACGCTGTCCCTGGACGTTAGCTTCCGGGGTCAGAGCACCGCCCTGAGTCATCCTCGCTGGTGGGCGGCAGCAGTGCCGTCCTGGCATTAACTCCCTTCGGCCAGGAAGACGGGCGAAGGTCACGGCCTGCCCTCTCCCCCGTGCATGTGGCCATGCCACCAGGCCTCATGGGGGGCGCGGAGTCAGCCCCAGCTCTGGGAGGTCCCGTGCAGCCTCAGCGACAGGACCTAGCAGCGCCTGCTCACGCCGAAGTCACAGCCGGGGGACCCCCCAGAGTAGGGCAGACAGGAGGTCCCGCAGGGCAGGATTTGCTGGGGGGCGTGGTCCGTGTTTTCCTGGAGTAGCTCCTGAAGCCTCGTGTGCACACGGTGCTGCTGGGTGCGGCTCAGGGAGGTCTCGGCACAGCCTGTGCGTGTGCAGGCCGCAGAAGCCCCGTGGGGACTCGAGGGTGAGACCCTGGAAGGGCTGCGCACCTGGCCCATGGGTGGGGCCCGCCGCGGCGTGGTTGGGGGAGGGGCCGAGCCCCACCCAGCAGCCCAGTGGAGGTCTTTCCTGCAGGGCCTTCTGACAGCAGATCCATTCCACTTACCCATCCCATTCCTTGTTCCAGCTCTAGCCCTGGGAACGCCCGTGCACCCCCCCGCCTGGGTGTTTGGGGGTCTCCTGCTGATCTCAGCCAGCCCCGTGAAGCGCTGTCCTGTTGGCCTGCATTTTTCTAGGACCTTGTGTCATGGGTGTGGGGACCCACTAAGGGACCGCCCAGTTCCACCACCGCGCTTCCCAGGCCCCGCCCCAGGGGGGACATTCAGGGGCCTCTGGTGGGGCCAGGGGGTCTCCTCCCCAAACCCCCAAGGACTTTGACAGTGGGCCCCGCTGGGCGCCTCCAGCCCCTCAAAGCACACACCCCTGCACAGGCAGCTGTCCTGGCCCCACGCGGACACCACCTGGACAGGCCACTCCAGCCGAAGGGCAGCTCTGGCTGGGGCGGGAGCCTGCCCCTCGCCCCCTGTTGCCCCCAGCTCTGCCCTCTGGGCGGAGATGGCCTGGCTGCGCTCGCTCAACAGCGATAGGGCCCCCAGGGTTGGAAGGTAGCGTCGTGCCCAGGCCCTACCCCCGCCCCCTCCGGCCCTCTGCTAGGCAGTCAGTTCCTCCAGCTAATCGCCGTGGGCGGTGCGGCTCTCTCCCCAGTCCAGGCCGGCTTTCGCCGTCCCTCGGGCCACTCCAACCAGCCAGACCTCGCGCCCCGAGGCCCCCCTCCCCGCCTGCTTCCCACGGCCTCAGCCCTACACGCCTTGCAGGCCCCTGGCTCCTCCCCCTCCCGAGGCTCTGCCTCTCTGACACCCTCGCTGAGGTGCACGCCCCGTCCAGCACCTCGGACAGCTCCAGGGCCAGCTCGGTCGACCGGCCCCCCCTGAGCTCCTCCGGCCCGTCTGTCCCCAGCAGCCCCCCCAGGCCGGTCCCCTGGGCTGGCCCTCCCGATCAGCCCCCCGGGCCTGGCCTCCAGCGGGTCCTCCAAGCAGCGCGAAGTGCCCTGCGCACCTCAGCTCCAAGCGTCCCCAGCGTGCGGGCCTCTGCACGCTGTTGACATGGGGGGCGGGGTCAGACGGGACTCCCCCAGCGAGATTCGAACCCGGATCTAGGGTGCTGGGGCCCATGCTTTCGGCCTCCCCCACCCCCAGTTGGCTGTCAGCACAGCCGGTCCCCCAGGCCACGGCTAATCTAGCTTCCTCGCGGTCCCACCGCTTTGGACCCACAGATCCACGGAGCCTGTGCCAGGCGCTCCGCTCCGCGTCCCCACCGGGCTCAGCGGGTTTCCCAGATTCCTCGAACCCGTCCCGCGCGCGCCCCCGCGTGGGTCCCCTCTCTGCTGCTCTGTGGCGCCCCCTGCCTGCTCGGGGGACTGACAGCTTCCGGCCTGTCTCGCTGAGAATGCTCCTCCGGCCCCCCACGTGACCGCGTGGGTCGGTCTCCGCCACGGGCCCTCCTCCGCCCCTTTCTTGCGGAGAACCGTCTGCAAGTCTCCCGCTTGCGTCCTCCTGCCTCGCGTCTGCCCCGGCGGCCGTCCATTGTCCTGCCCTCTCCGCTTTGCTGCGCGAGGGGCCCTCGGGCCCGCCCACCGCCGCCCTCGCGCGCCGTAATTCAGCTCCTCGTCGCTCCTGACACGGCTCTCGCTCCCGACAACGCCTTTCTTTTCATGGGCACGCACGCCGCAAACGCTGCCTTTTTTTTTTTTTTTTTTTACAAAAACGTTTTAAGGAAGAACGACAAGTGTACAGCGAAATGCTAATGAATTCTAACTTGCACCTGAAAGACGACTTTAAAATCCAAGTAGCTTCTTGATGTGAATGTTCGCTTTGACCCCATTTTGAGGCTGTGCCCCTTGGCCACGCGGCCCACCCCGAGCCCACCGTGTCCTTTCTTGGCTGCACGGCCGCCGGTCCCGCCTTCCCTCCCACCGCCGGGCCCCGCGCGCGCCTGCTGGTGGTGCTCCAGAGCCCGCCCGGCCTGTGCGCGCGGCCGCTGTTCCGAGGGAGGCAGCCGCCCCTGCCGGTCCCAGGGCGCCCCCTGTGCACGGCTGTCTGTCCCGCCTGCTCCGCCGCGTTCCTGAGCCCTGAGGCCAGCTGGGTGGTCCTGCCTCCAGGGGATGCGACCTGTGGTCGTTCCTGTAACTGGAAGAGAGGCATCTGTGCTGGGGACACGATCCGGAGCACCAGTTCCCGGGTTTTGTTTCATTTTGGTTTTTTGAAAGTTGACATGAAGTATGATACTTTTTTTTTTTTTAAGATTAAAAAAAAAGTTTTTAGCCCTGACTGGCGTAGCTCAGTGGATTGAGCGCAGGCTGCGAACCAAAGCATCGCAAGTTCAATTCCCAGTCAGAGCACATGCCTGGGTTGCAGGCGAGGTCCCCAGTGGGGGCCACATGAGAGGCAACCACACATTGATGTTTCTCTTTGTCCCTCCCTTCCCCACTGTGTGGTTGCCTCTTGCGCGCCCCCTACTGGGACGTGCTGCACGTGCGGACCTACACTGACAACCTTTTAAGTGCAGAGGCTGGAGTTGGCCCCACCTGGCCCAGCCCTGGGCTGGGCTGGGTTGGGCCTGGGGGGGCGGGGGCGTGCTGCTGGCCACCAGAGTGCCTGGGATGGGCTGGAGCCTGAAACGCCGGCAGGTCGGGGCCTGCGGAGCTCCCGCGGGAGCCAGCGCAGATTGAGCTCAGAAGGAGACCGGGTTATGCGGTGGGAGGAGAGACAGGCCAGGACCATGCGAGGAGGGCGCAGTCGGGAGAGGCCACAGGACCCTCCAGGGGATGAAAGCTCCAAGCGCAAGGCCAGGCCGGCCTGTTGCGTGCCTTGTGGGCCAAGCAGCCCTCAGACCTGAGGTATCCCACTGAGCATGCAGGGTGGGGGTGCGTTTCCACTTTGTAGATTTAAAAAATGTGTGTGTTTTGCATAATTTGTTACAAATAAGTAAGGCAGCACGTGGAGGGTGCAGACACAGAGTTGACCAGAGCAGTGATGCCCGGCTGCTCGGGCTGGCGGCCAGCTGGGGCGGGAGCTGCGGGGCTGGAGGGTGGGTGCGGGCTTCCGAGAAAGCTGCAGGGGCTGCCCCCCTTCTGCACCTGAGTGAGGGCGGCCTCCCACAGGGCGCACTGCACCCCCCATAGCCACCCTTTGAGCCTTGGGCTGCAGTCGGCCCGGGGTCTGCATTTGGTTCTCCACTTCTGCAGCCTGAGGCTATTTCTGGGCCAAAAAAGGTAACTGCTCTGGCACTGGGCCAGGACACTCAGACTGCCTGGGCCCTTCCCAGCTGGCTCCGTTGACCACCAGCAAAGGGCCAGCCCTCTGTGGTCTGGCTCCCTCACCTCATTCCTGGGAGGTGGCAGAGCTGAACGCTCCAGCCCTTGAGCCGGTGGCGTCTGAGGTGCTCTGGGCAGTGACAGGAGCCCGCAGCCCCAGCACCGACCACCGGTGAACTCGGAGCTCCAGGGCCCGGTTTTCTGCCCTCACAGCGCAGCCTGGCCCAGGGAGGGCTGTCACTCTCCTGTGCTGAGCGCCAGCCCCTGCCTCTTCCTCGTCTGCACAGCAGCACCTGTCTCTGGGGTGCTGAGGTCAGGCCAGGGGACTCACACGTGTGGGGGGAGTGGACACAAGTGCCGAGGGCTGGGCCTCGCAGAAGCACCAGTGGCGTGTGGCTCCCCCACCCCCGCCCCTATTTGCTCCTGCTCCTCTCCACGGAGCAGCTTCCTGAGTCTGCGGCCTCCTCCTCCCTGGCGCTCCCCTTTCTCCACTAGCGCCGACTCCGTCATTCACTCACTCCGCAGCCAGCTCGGTCACCAAACCTGGACCCACTTTCTTCACCTTATCCCTGCACCTGCCTGGACACAGTGGAGCCCGGGCGGGAGACGCTGGAGCTGCGCCAGGTGGGTGTGTGGGAGCAGAGACTGGCAGAGTCAGGGATTCTGGAATGCCCGTGGGAGCGGGAAGGCAGGCGGCGCTGCTATGAAGATCAGGACAACAGCCTGGGAGGGGCCTCGCACTGGAGCTAGGGACCCTGCCTTTAAGAATCTCAAAAGGAAGCCAACATTGGGGCGACCATCTGCCTGCCACCCAGCGGCTTCCCAGGGCAGCAGAGCACTACTGAGTGCACTCATCAGGCGGTCCAGGTCGTCCACGGAAGTGCCCACGCCAAGGCCTCCAGGGCAGCTAAGCCCCCAAGTCTCCATTATCCTACAGTACAGGTGGCAAACACAAGGCCCTTGGCCGATTCCGGCCCCAGCACCTTGTTTCTACCCAGCAGCAGTGCCGAGTTCCTTGCCCCTAGTTAAGGAGTAGTTACATGTGTACAGTCCTAAAACTACATTTGGTCCTTTGAAGGCAACCACGAGACTGATATCACCCCGGTGAAAATGAGTTTGACATCCCTGGCCAGAGCATCGTGGGAAGTTGCCTAAAATGTCCTTGCAACTGTTCCGGCAGAGGCCTCCAAGGTAGCTGAGAGCACAGTCCTCCGGAGGTCTAGAGTGCCTAGGAAGTGCCTGTGTCACGGCCTCCAGGGCAGCTGAGAACACAGTCCTCCAGATGCTTAGAGCGCCCAGGAAGTGCCTGCGTCGCGGCTTGCAGAGCAGCTGAGAGCACAGTCCTCCAGATGCTTAGAGCGCCCAGGAAGTGCCTGTGTCGCGACCTCCAGGGCAGCTGAGAGCACAGTCCTCCAGATGCCTAGAGCGCCCAGGAAGTGCCTGTGTCGCGACCTCCAGGGCAGCTGAGAGCACAGTCGTCCGGCTGCCTAGAGCGCCCAGGAAGCGCCTGCGTCGCGGCTTGCAGAGCAGCTGAGAGCAGTCCTCCAGATGCCTAGAGCGCCCAGGAAGTGCCTGCGTCGCGGCTTGCAGAGCAGCTGAGAGCACAGTCCTCCAGATGCCTAGAGCGCCCAGGAAGTGACCGCGTCGCGGCCTCCAGGGCAGCTGAGAGCACAGTCCTCCCACAGCCTAGAGTGTTGCCGGAAGTGTCTGCGCCGCGAGTGAAGGGCTGGGCACTAGGGGTTAGCAGCCGTGACTGCAGGTATGGGGTGGCGGGCCAGGTGGGGTGGCTGACGTTAGGGCCGTGTCGAGCGCGACCGTGAAGCGAGGGTTGAGGGCCGCGCGTCTGTCCTGGGGTTTCGCTGCGGAAGAGCCGCAGGTCCGCCGAGGACAGTGGAAGCGGGGAGCATGCGCCGCGGCCGCGGTCTGCGGGCAGCTTCCCTAGACCAGCGTGACGGCCGCCAGGGGTCGCTGCGTCCCCAGTTGCTGGCGTGAGTCAACCTGCCCTGGTCTTTCTGTGAAATGACCTAATTCACACGGTTTCGCCTACAAACTTCCAGATGAAGTTTCCGTGCAGATAAATCACGATTTCGGCGTCGGGAGGTCCCGGAGGGGGGAGTCAGTGTGACCCCACGGCCTTTGTACGTTGTCCCGTGACCGCCAGGCGCGCGGCGGTGACCCGAGTGAATCTTTCCGAGTAAAACGGAGGTTTAAATTGCCTTTTCTAATTGCTAATGACGCGGGACAGGTGTGGGACTGAGGTTTGAAGACGTGTCCGCCACTGTTCTTTGGTGGGCTGCGTGTTCATGGCTTTCACCAGCTTTTCTGACACGTGTGTGCTTAAGCATTTTGAGTGTATTACAGTTGTCCCACTTCCCCCCTTTACCCCCCTTAGTTCGTGTCATGGGTCGTGCATGTAACTTCTTCCATTCTACTCTTCATCTCCCCCCATTTCCCACCTACCACCTGCGCCCCTTATTCCCTATAACCCCCCCCACTGATAGCCCTCCATGTGATCTCCGTTTCTGTGATTCTGTTCCTGTGCTAGTTATTTGCTTAGTTCATTTTTGTTTTTGTTTTTTTAAGGTTAGATTGTTGATAGTTGTGAGTTTGTCACTTTACTGTTCATGTTATCTTCTTTTTCTTAGCTAAGTCCCTTTAACATTTCATATAATAAGGGCTTGGTGATGGTGAACTCCTTTAACCTGACCTCATCTGGGAAGCACTTCATCTGCCCTTCCACTCTGACTGAGAGCTTTGCTGGATGGAGCGACCTTGGCTGTGGGTCCTTGCTTCTCCCGACGTTTGGAGAGGCCCAGAGGGTCCTCATACTCTCCTTCTATTGTTTCCTTCTTGCTGTTCTGGTCAAATGCTTATTTCTTCCTGATGTTCCACATCGTTGGTTCGAATCCCGGCTTCCTCCCCCAACTCCCGTCTCCCAGCAGAGGTGTCTCTGCCGCACTTGGCGGGATCCTCACCCCTCCTTCAGGCTGTGGCCGCCCACGTTGGGAGCCCTATGTCTGGTAGGCTGGTCGTGTCCTTTCCGCTTGGTTCTTTCATTTGGGCCCCGTTTCTCCGTCTCCCCACCGTGGCAGCGTGTGTGTGTGTGTGTGTGTGTGTGTGTGTGTGTCAGGCGGGGCTGCTCCGACCCCCTCCGGAGAGGGGCCTGTTGCAGAGAAGGCAGCTGCAGAGTATGGGGCGGAGTCTCGGGTGGTGGCAGGGCGGGGCAGGCGCCTCACCCCTTGGTGGGGGGGTCTGCGTTGCTGTAAGTCTGTGAGAGCCCTTTACAGAGTCCTCAACACCCGGCAGTTTCTTTCCAACCCCCCCCCCAACACTGGTGTCTGCAGCCAGAAGTCGTGAGGGTTCGTCCCCCCAGCTCTGGAACCCTGGGCTGTGCAGTCTGGCCAGGGGCTGGGACCCCTCATTCCCACGGTGTCCCCCCCAGTTTTGCCCACCACACAGGAAGGTGGGGCTGCCCCACCTGCCACCCCTCCGCCCACTGGCATGTCCCTGCCGTCCTGCCCGGCCGGGTGGACACGGCTTCTCTCCATCTCGGTGGTCGGACTCCGTACAGCTCCCCTTTCCGACAGTTCGGGGTGTCGCCTGTTTTGAGGTCTAGTGATGATTTTTTCTGTAGTTGTGTGAGGGGGCGAAGCATGTTTATCTCCACTTCCACCTTGACCAAAGTCTACCCCCTACCTGTTTATTTCCTTTTGTTTTTTAAAGATTTTTATTTACTTTTAGAGACAGGGGAAGGGAGGGAGAAAAGAGAGAGAAACATCAGTGTGTGGCTGCCTCTCATGTTCCCCCTACTGGGGACCTGGCCCACAACCCAGGTGTGTGCCCCGACTGGGAATCGAACCAGCGACCTTTTGGTTCGCAGGCCAGCACTCAGTCCGCTGATCCATGACAGCCAGGGCCAGTTTCTTATGTTTAACATTAAATGTTCTTGTGTGGTGAAATCCATCAGATTTTGGCGTTGCCCTTAGCAAAATCATTCCTCAGTCCAAAATTACACTTTTCACTTCTTTTATATTAAAAATTCCGTAATTACCAAAAAACTTGAAAACCTGTAGACACCTGAGGACCGGCTGGAGGTGCTGGCTGGGTCCTCGTGGAGCGAGGGGCTGCAGGCGGGCGTGGGGCCGCCGCCACGGACTGTCTGTCCCCGGGCGTCCGAGTGACAGGCGGGCGCACGGGCGAGGGGGCTCCTTTGGGCCCCAGGGGGCTCCGCCCCCCCCACTCCTCCTGTCACTCTCTCCCCTCTTCCTTTTGCCCACACAGGTGCCCCCACTCCTGGTGTGTCTGCAGGACGCCGCGGAGGGCCAGCCTGATGGACACACGTGCAGGTGAGGGGTGGGCAGCCAGAGAGGTCACGTGTCGGGAGCTGGGGTCCCCGGTCCAGCTGCGGGAAGATGGCTGCCACCACGTTGTTCCGGCCACAGCACCCATGGGCCCCACCTCCCACCCCCCGTTCTTGGGTCCCCGGGCTGGAGGCTCCTGAGAACAGGACCGGCTTTGGGCTTCATTTCCCGGCCCCGAGCAGCAGACCGGGGGGGGGGGGGGGACGCTGGGGCCCCGTCAGGGCTGACACGGCCAAGGGCTTGGGGTCGGTGTTCTGCGGCTGCCGTCACTGCACCATCTCGTGACCAGCGCTGAGGGCGAGGCCACCTTCCCTCGCAGAGCTTCACCCTGCCCGAGCATGCTCACGGCCGTGTTCCCTGGGTGACTTGTCCTGCACACCCCACACCCCCCCACACCCCCCGCAAACACTCCACGGTGCGGCCCCCGGTCAGAGGTCGGTGGAAGCCTGGCGGGCGCCTGCCCACCCGCACTCGTCCCTAGGGCTGCAGCAGCAGGCGAAGTGCCTGCCCGTGGGGGGGGGTTCCTCTGGACCCCGTGTCTGCTGGCCCTGGCCTTGTCCTGGGCCACCGGCCACAGGAGACCCTGATGACGCTGCAGGGACTGCTCGGCCTCCCAGTGTCCCCAGCTTGTGACGCCACATCCCAGATGCTCTTGAGCCGAGGGGACCTCGTCGACCTGCCGCCTCACCGAGGCAGCCCCCCCCGCCCCCCACCCCCGGGCTGTGCCCACTCCGGCCGACGTCTGGGTCAGTGTCCTCTCCGCACGAACAGAGCCCTCCGAGGTGGCGGGTGGGGGCTCATCTGAGACAGTGTCGCTCCAGGAGCCCAGGGTCGGAGTGGTAGGCGGGGCCCAGGACTCATGCTGTCCACCTCAGCGCGTCCTGCTCTGGCCCCAGGCCGGGGGACAGGGGGGTGCGGCAGAGCCGAGCCTGTCCCCTCCGCTCCTGGGGCCGGAGAGACAGAGGCACAGGCTCAGGTCTCCTGGAGTCACCGGAAGGAGCCTCCAGGTTCTACCTGCCCCCAGCCCCTGTCTGTCCCTGTCCCCATGGAGGTTAGAAAGGACAGCCGAGCAAGGACCCCACCCAGGCGCCTGGTGCGCTCTGACCCCTGACCTCATGCCATCTTCCCAGCATGGCCGTAGGTCCCCGGTGCCACCTGCAGCTCTCGTGGGGCTGTCCGAGGCTCGGAGTCCCTCGTGTCTGAACCCACGCCCGGCCCTCTCTTCCAGCTCCGCTCACGCGGGTGTCCCGTGGCCGCCGGACTGCTGCGAGCAGTGCACAGAGCGCAGAGTCGGTGCAGCGGCAGGTGGCCATGGAGGAAGGGGACGGCCACAGAGAGCAGGCGCCAGGACTGTGCCAGGGGCCTCCCCCGGCCCTGGCTTCTCTGGACCTTCGTGGGAACGAGGAGGCCGGAGAGCGGCTGCGAGAGGCCCTGCGGGGGCCGGTCGCTCGTGGGGAGACCGGAGGGCAGAGTGGCTGTGAGGGCGCGCCAGGTCCCGCACGGAACGAGGGCCCCGCAGCAGGCGGCAGCGGCCACCGGACAGGATGGCCTCGCGGCTGCAGCACCGACGCTGCCCGTGCCAGGGAGAAGCCCTACACGTGCGGCGACTGCGGCAAGGCCTTCGTGCACAGCTCGCTCGTCATCCGGCACCAGCGCACCCACAGCGGGGAGAGGCCCTACCTCTGCCAGGAGTGCGGCAAAGCCTTCAGCCAGAGCTTCAACCTCGTCCGGCACCAGCGCGTGCACACCGGCGAGAAGCCCTACAGGTGCGCCGAGTGCGGCAAGACCTTCAGCCAGAGGTCCGACGCCGTCAAGCACCGGAGGATCCACACCGGGGAGAGGCTGTACGAGTGCCGCGAGTGCGGCAAGGCCTTCATCCACAGCTCCAACGTGGTGCGGCACCAGCGCACCCACCACGGGGAGAACCCGTACGCGTGCCAGGAGTGTGGCCAGGCCTTCAGCCAGAGCTCCAACCTCCTCCAGCACCAGCGCGTGCACACCGGCGAGAAGCCCTTCGCCTGCCGGGAGTGCGGGCGCGCCTTCAGCCGCAGCTCCTTCCTCAGCGAGCACAGGCGCATCCACACCGGCGAGAAGCCCTACGAGTGCGCCGAGTGCGGGCGCGCCTTCCGGGCCCTGTCCGGCTTTTTCCGGCACCAGCGGGTGCACACGGGCGAGAAGCCGTTCCGCTGCGCCGAGTGCGGCCACGCCTTCCGCCTGAGCTTCCACCTCATCCAGCACCAGCGGGTGCACAGCGGAGAGTGAAGCCGGGACGTGGGAGCGTGGGGCAGGGACACGTGCGCACGGGTGGGGAGGGGGCGCGGCCCCGCTGAGCTGGTGCCCACACGGAGCTCTGCGGGCCTTGCACCCTGCGCGGCCGCGGGGCGGGGCCGGGAGGCCGTCATGGTGGTGCGCGTTGCTGCCACCGGCGAGTCTGCGGCCTCCTCGCCCGGGAGCGGCCCGAGCGGGAAGTGGAGTCTGGGAGGTGAGTTCCCGCGGGCACATCGCCGACGCTCCCGGAGGAGGGACTGGCGGCGGTGGCCCGTGTCCACCGGCATCGGCTCCGGTCCGGTCATTTGCGTGGCTCACACTGTTACTTCCGGCGCAATCCGCACGTGGTGCCGTGTGTCGCTCCTAAGTGTTTTGGTTCCGTGAGGTTTAACAAACAGTGTTCACTTAAACCTTTGTAACCGCCGTGCTGTCGGGACAGACTCTCTGTCACCCCACGGCGTCCTCGCGGCCCTCCCCGGCCAACCCCCACCCTCAGAGGTGGGCAGTGAGCCCGCCTGCCCCTGTGGCCCTGGGTGTCTGGGCCCCGTGTTAGCAGGACGCAACCGGCCCCCCGGGGGTCCGCACCTCCGTTCCCTCGGCTTCTCTCTGAGATGCACCCGCGTGGCAGCAGGGTCGCTGCAGCCCCACGCCCGTCTTTCTCCCCGTGTCGGAGCGCGCTGCGCAGCGGGGTCAGGCGCGAAGAGAGCAGGCTCAGGTGCCGGGCGGGCAGAGCAGCAGCCAGCACCCGCTCCCACGGCGCTCCGGAGTCTGCAGCACAGAAGACGTGTGAGATCTCAGCACTTTCAACAAACATTTCCTACGCACCCCCTGGCCGGGCTCCGTGCCGCTGTTCCGGGGACACAGACCGGCCACGCGGGTGTGAGCGAGGAGCAGGGAGCCCGGGAGAGGCACCGGGAGGGCAGGGGAGGGCGCCCCCGGGGCGGGCTCTCCGTGACCGCGTCGGCAGGCGGATGCGACCGTGCGGAGCAGGGTGCACTGGGGGTGTGCGTGTAAGAAACATGCCCCCCCCACCCCCCCGGGACTCACGGTGCGCAGCTCCGGCAGCAGCGGCCTGTGTTGCAGACCCACAAGGCGGGGCGGTGGGGGCGGCACACGTCTCTGACGCACGGGGAAGGGGAGGGGTCTGGGTGCACGTTGCGAAACGGCCGTGGTGACCGGACGGGTCCGGGCGGCCGTGCAGCGGTGGTCTGCTCCAGCCGAGCCGCCGGCAGGACTCCCGGGGCAGCGCAGGTCCAGGGCTCTCGAGGGTGCTTAATGGACGTGTGAGCTGAGGCTGCAGGACTGTGCGAGGGGCGGGGGTGGGCGTGGGGACTGCACTCCCCCCAGCGTGGACTCACATCCATTTGGGGCGCCCGGGGTGGGGGAGGGGGACAGCCAGGGCTGAGCCGTGATGCTCAGGTGGGCGGGGCCTGCCCGGCGCGTGCTGCCTCCCAAGTGCCAGTCGGAGCCGAAGCAGCTGTTCGTCGGAGGAAAGCCCCCCCCCCCCCGCGCATGCACTTAGACCCTGTCCTGGTCCTGCTCACAGACCGTCGCCAGGCGCTGAAACCGCCGCGGGAGGCCGGGGAGAGCGGTCACGTGCGGGGTGTGTGAGGACGACGGTCCGCGGCGGGAGCAGCAGCGACCCCCAGGCACCGACGGGCAGGGGCTGCAGAGGGGCCCTCCGAGGATGGAGAGCGCGGTTCCGCAGGGGGCGTCAGTGCTGCAGAAGCAGCCCCGAGTCCCAGGGAGGCCGGAAATGGGAAGCCCATCTCCAGTCCGGTAGGAAGAGGGGTGCAGGGATTTAAAAGGAACAGGCCTGGCTGGTGTGGCTCAGTGGATTGACGCACGGGCTGCGGACCGAGGAGTCGCCGGTTCGACTCCCAGTCAGGGCACACGCCTGGGCTGCGGGTCGGGTCCCAGCGGGCGGTGTTCCTGAGGCCGCTGACGGACATGTCTTCCTCCTCCTCCTGTCCCCAAAAACCAACCACAGTGAAAACAGTGAAAACACTAGAACCGGCGGGAGGATCCAACTCGGACCCACACAGTCCCCGCCCAGAGGAACGTCTCCAGCAGACCTGAGAGGCCAGGGCGCCGCGCCAACGCGGGGAGGCGCAGCCCCCGGGAGAATGGGGGCGGGCCCTTCCCTGGAGGACACGCCCACCCGGAGAGCGGACGGGCAGCGGCCGCTCCAGTGGCGAGCTCAGCGGCGCACACCGCCTGTCGTCGCCCCCACTCCCGTGAGGACGGAGAGCCGGCATTCGGGGACCGTTTCCAACGTGCAAGCAGGAGACTGAGCCACCAAAAAAGCGGTTCTTCCACCAGCCCGAATGGACGGACAGTGCAGGACAGGGTCGCCGCCGCCCCGCAACAGGCCGGGCAGCCCAGTCCCGAAGGTGCCTGTTTTCCCGCTGCGGGGCTCGGAGCGCAGCCGCCGACCTCTCGCGGGAGCTTGCCAGCGCCTCCCGCAGCTTCTGAGCGCCGAGAAGGTCGCCCCGGCATCGGCGGTGCCCAGAGGAGAGGCCTCGGTGCCCGGAGGCTGAGCTGGGGCCTGGCCCCACCGGCACGCCCGTGGCTGCTGTGGACCCTTGCCCCCTGTGGGGACTTGTGTGTGAGGCCCCTCCATCCGGCCGAGTCCCCCGGGACGCTGGTCTCGCAGAATGCCGCCCGCCGGCCTTCGTGAGACACCGGGGTGCACCCCTCGGTCTGCACGCGAGGCCCCATGCGCACTGGGCCCCCGGCAGGCTGGCCTGTCTCTCTTCCGTGGGCAGAGCTTCCCGGGCTGCGTCTCTGCCCACGGAGCGTGGGCTCCGCGAAGTCCCACGGGTCCAGGTACGTGGTCCCTTTCCTCTCTCCTGCTGCCGTCTCCTGCATGGGAACCACAGACACGTGGGTTCTTGGCATCTGAGGAGCAGTGTGCGTGATGGGGACGCCGGTGTCGGTCACACAGGCCACTGCGCCCCCGACCCTCAGGGACGGGGGATCGGACTCTGGGCAGAGACCACCTCGGCCCCGGCCCCCTGCCTCGTCGGAGGAAGAGCCCGCCTGGGCTGAAACGGGGGCTGGCGCGGGGACAGGACCGGGGATGGGCCCCTCGGCCTGCCCGTGAGGATGAGGAAGGAAGCGGGGCCACCGGACGACACCGAGGTGGTGGCAGAGACGGCCACATGTGGGCCGTGGGCACCGACCTGCGCGACCGACCCAGACGCACTCACATCTGAGGAGGGACCCATGTCCACCACACATTCCATTCTATTTTATTTATTTTTGGAGGGAGGGAAAAAAGGGAGAGAAACAACAATATGTGGTTGCCTCTGACACACCCCCTACTGGGGACCCGGCCGCTACCCAGGCCCGTGCCCTGACTGGGAACCGAACTGGCGATGCTTTGGCTCGCAGGCCTGCGCTCAGTCCACTGAGCCACACCAGCCAGGCACTGCACATTTTGAAAAAAACTAAAAGTCGCTGTGAAATATGCCAGTAACTCCATTTTTTAAATAGAAAAAAAATTAAAAGCAAACGTGAAAAACAAGCACGCAAAGACACCCCACGTCTTTACTCTCAGGGAAACAGGAGTTCAAGCCCCAACGAGACCACCTCAAGCTCTCGGCCCGCCGAGCGTGGGAACGCAGGGCCCAGTGCACCACCCCCCGAGTAACCACGACCCAGACATCCCAGCCCAGGCCCCCGAGAAGGGGTGAATGCTGGCAACAGCCCGGCCCTGGAGAGACCTGGCAGGGCGGGCGGTGGACACCCAGCATGCGCTGATGGGGGGGGGGGGGCAGAGTCCCTCAGGGGCCTGTGGAAAACCCACGGCAATGACTCGGATCAGTGCACACGTGAGTTTCTCAAACGAGAAAAGAAATAAACTTCCTTGTCAAAGAGTTTCCCCCCAAAAGTTCCTGCTTCCCGGCCTCCCACACCCCCTCACCGAGTGCCACGCCCCTTTCCTCACGTGTGCCCGGGTGAGGCCCCGGCTTGCTTGGGCCCACCCTCTGCCTGCGTCTCCAACTCTCTGGACAGAGATGCGACCAGACAGGGAACAGTCCAGGGCACGGGGTGTCCTGACCGGAACACGGCCACCAAGCCCTTGGAAAGGCCACGAGAGAGCGCGGCCGACAGCCCCGGGATGGTGGGTCGGGGCCACTGCCCCGCTGGTCGCTGAAGTTGTGTTGGGAAACTTCTTTTGTTGCGTATTCGTGACCCAGTGTTTTCCCGCAAAACGTGGCAACCTCCTCAGCCATTAAGCTCAAGTTCACGGCTTTGCTGTGGACAGAAGATGCCTGGGGGGGGGGGGGGGGCGGGCCTGCACCTCGTCCTCACGCAGCACGCCAGGAGCCAGGCGTCCTGGCCTCGTTCAAGGTCAGGGGTGCATCCTCGGTTTAAGACGACGAACGCACCGGCGCCCAGGTGGACGCCATGGACGCCCAGAGTGCACCTGGGGGCTCCGGCAGGCTCCACGGCCACTTCACGCGCGTCTCCTGCGTCTGCGTCTGTCCTGCTGCTGCCGCCCGACGGGGAGCCGTGCGGTCAGCAGTGCCTGCGACTGTGAACCACACCTTCCATGTGGTCACTGGGGCCAAGTGAAAATGACGTTCGGGCTTCAGAGCGGAACCCTGAGTACGTGCGGGCGCCGCAGCCCCCGACACACCCACCAACCACCACCACCACCCACCACCACCACCACCCACCACCACCACCAACCACCACCGCCGGGTGGCCCTGCCGTCACGGGGGTGGGTGGAGGCGGCCTCGGGGCCAGACCCCCGCCCACCAGGACGCGGTGCTCCCTGTCGGCAGGAACGCAGGCCGTCGGGGGTGGGGGGGGCTCGCAGGAGGGGAAGCTCGGCCGCGCTGCAGCTGCCGCCACTGCCCTGCGCCTGGGCCCCGCTCCTCTCCCTCCCGCAGGACGAGGCCTGGGCTTCATCCTGCCCCTCCACACCCCCGCCAGCCGAGCCTTTACCGTGACCCCACGGAGGTGCGCACTGGGGCGGTCACCTGCTGGGGGAGCTGGTGGGGACTGGCCGGCCTGACCGCGCCCACCCCTGCACACGCTCACGCCCGCCGCTGGGACAGGCGGCGAGTCTGGCTGTGTGGGAGGGGGGCGAGCAGGGGCCTCCAGGGGCCTCCCCAGCGGGGCCCTCGGACTCCCCGGAGTCGCCTGGGACATCGAGAAGGCCGCCCGGAGTGCCCCCCCCCACCCCGGGAGCTGGGGCTGTCTGCACTGGGACGGTTCTTTGCTGAACAAAGGCCTCCCCTCCGAGAGCTGGGCCGGGGGTGGGGCAGAGGGGCCCAGGGCACCAGCCTGAGGGACTCCCAAGAGGGGCCTGCTGCTGGCGGGGGCACAACTCGTGTGGCCCAGCACTGGACATACGTCGTCCCCAAGGCCGCCGCTGAAGTCCCCCACCCCAGCCTGTCCCCAGGTCCCCCCGAGGCA